ACGTTCGTAACAAAGGCATCAATCAGGAAAAGGGGAAAGACGAGAAAGCCTGGCATCGCTATCTTGGAATGCAGATCGATGCAGATGTACTGCGAGATGATTTGCAGCGTTAGAGTTGCCACCAGCAGGATTGGAATTACTCGCACCATGAGAAATCCATTAAAGTATTTTTCCAAGATTTGAATACTTCTGTAGAGGTGGAGGCAGTCACGATGTTCCGAAATGGTTTGAGAATTTTCAATCCGACTGAATTTATCGGTACAAGAAAGAAATTTACTTTTGTAAATAAATATGAGTGTGGTTTTTTAATAATTGTAACGCGTTGTGGCTTATTAAATGCGTGGAATTAAAGTAATAACAAAATAAGGTTTGTCTAATTATCTCTGCCCAAGAAAACATAATTTTTCATATATTTCTAATGAAGTATTGAATTTACATAATGCAAATTGAACGTATTGACTTTGATGAGTCAACACATACACTCGCTTATGCATGTAAGCATGTACTTGCATCGCTTATCCAAGTAATACCAATACATACATACATTTTAGATTCAGGATGGAATATAAATATGCGGTACATATTGCATATATTTATTTACAATGTTTCTCCTGGCAAAAACGAACTGAAATTAGTGGAAGGAATTATTATTTTTTTCGTGAAAGATTACTTGCACGAGTGCAAGAAACGCAAAAAATAAGCGGCCTATGTCCTTAGTTCCTATACTTAAGTTTGTTTCCGCTTCTTGGTGGCGCCTATTGCATGCATTTCTTAAAAAATTTCGAAGAAAAATAGGAAAACGTGCTAGAAATCGCAAACACTTAAAAAACCACGCGTATCCAGCTCACATAAGTATTTGCAACTACAATGTAACCTTTTCAGAAGCTGGAAGTAGTTGAGAATGGCGACAATTCCGGACATCAAAATATAAAAGACCCAGGCCGTCCCAGAGCTGAAAACTTGCAGGCTCATCCATGCTTCGAAAAGGACGACAAAGATTTCCGGACCGAGTGGATACCACGAGATATTTTTGCAACTTGGCGAGAAAGAAAGAAGAAATGGAGGCGTACAAGGTTCTACCATGAGCAGAAAGATTACCGCGAATGGAACTACGACCACGGTGAACTCTAAAATGTAGAGAAACAAGGACATCAACTTCGCTACGAATGACTTCGTGATGCTTTCTCCATCTAAAAATTAGCAAAATTTGTAATTGTGCCAAAAATGTCACCCAAATATCTTCCAAACAATTGATTTCTTGCCACATTTTCTCATTTCTTTAGTTTCATTAACTAATCATTAATAACTGTTTGATGCAAAAAAATAGAAACAAAAATCCTTAAGCTAAATGATTTTTTTATGTACGCAAACTCTGCCGGATAACCTCTCAGATTTTTTTTGTTTCTATTGTTTTGAACTAACAGTAAATACATAATTAACTGAAAAACTGTCTGTAATGGAAAATCCAAGAAACAAGACTGGTCTGTACATACCTCTGAGCAGATTTTGTTCAAAGCTGAGAATCGAGTTGATCAGTTGTATCGGGGCGATGTCCAGCCCCACATTCCACCCACCAAAGATGAGCACCATGTAACAGTCCAGGAATGTAATTCCCTGCAGTCTTTTAACCATTGACATGTCGCCGGTGCAGAAATGATGGACCAGCACGAGAAAGTAGCTCAGTGCGATGATAGATTGCATTTGAGTGACGCGTGTTCGCCGGCGAGATTTCATAGGGACAAGCTTCCCAGATTTGGCATCAAATTCGAATGGAACGCTCCGAATGAGGCGGGAGAATTTAAAGTGTTTAATTACCATGGGAAGAAATTGGATGGAATACATGGTGATGGGTGATGTAGAGCGGAGAATATTTAGTTTTTGTCCTAGCCAGTTGAAGGCCAGAAATGGAATGAAGTAAAATTGACGTTGGAAACTTTACACATTGGGTAACAGAGCTGATTTAGTATGCATTGGAAAAGAGGAGATAATCTGATTCGTATCAGGCACGGGGTGACGGGTTTGCACTCTAAAATGAGCTGGTAATAAAATTATCGCTTTAATAGGAAAAGTACATACATAGGAATTTCAGGGTTCTAAAATAGTTGAACTATTTAAAAGTTTTAAGGACGAGTGATTAAAAATAAGCCTTCAAAAGTGTCAGGAAGTGTGTTCATCAAGGAAAAAGCGTTGCAGACTTGTAGTTCAGAACGAGGGTAATCACATCGAGCAAGTTAGTCATAAAAAAAATCATATTTAGGTTAGCAGAATTGTTGAAAATTTCTCAGTAAGGATGGCCCATGCTTCGTACCTCTTGGTATCAGTTTAATATTTGTATTTCAGTTTCTAAGAGTAAGTGAAATGCATTTTGGACAGGTAATCAATCCATTGTTTTTGTTCACCACGCGCCAGTAATTTATGCAATAGGTGTTGTCGCCAAGTTGCATCTGACCTCTAAGCATTTAGAGAAAAACAAGGGTCTACTTTCACAACGAATAATAAGTCACGTAGCACATACTGATAAGAAATCAAGGTAAATTAACGTTCTGCCAATGGGACGTGCATACGGGATTTCATCCAAGCTTACTGATTCGAGAAGATGATCATGATTCTGGTTGAAAGGTCAGATTAAATAGTCAACCGTTTCAGAAGATCAGTCTATTTTATTAAAAAAATATTTCAAGAACCTTTATGAATGTGCCAAGCTACATAGATGTCAATGTGACGACATAAATGCGGGGGTAGTTATGTATGAGGGTGGAAATTTAATCAACGTCTTATCGAGCTTCATCTTGTGATAATTAAAACAGTTTCCCCGGTTTTGCTAGGCAGGAGAGGTCACAATATCTGCAAGGCCAGATTTTAAAGCCTATATCGACTCGGATAAATATGTACAAATTTATACATTCCAATGCCCCTTAAAACGGCTGATAATCGGCTATGCAGGTTTTGTTTCATACTAAAAATCAAATCCGGGGCAATTAAACTGGAGAATTTTTTTTAAAATAAAATTTTTTAGAATTAGGTATTCAACATAGTGTCGGCATCAGACTAGGACCTGGATTCCAACTCTGCACCCGATTCCGAGTACCTGTTTTTAGAAGTCGCCGAAGTTACGGCATAATGCGGAATTTTTGCAGGTGCTTTTCGAAGAATCCGGATTCTTGTGAATCACTAATGGTGTGGTCCGACTTGTGGTGCGTTTGCCGGGAAAGTGAGAGGCAAACTTAAAAAATTCTGTGTGGGGGACCGTTGCCGTTGGGGGCACTTTTTTGCCCCAATTTTCAAGGATCTTATTTTCCTCCTTGTGGACAGGGTATGCAACCCGGTGTTTTTGTGGGTTTTTGGGGTATCAAATCTCCGGAAAACCCAAGGGGCTTTTGTGGGGTTTTATTTGGTTTTTGTAAGGTTTTGGTAAGATTTTGTGGAAGATTGAAACAAGATTCTGCAAACTAAAAGATTTTACAATCTGGAGCGGTGACAATTTAATTTCGGATTAAGCATGAAATTTTGGGCATTTTTATGTGCGACGTGAATTTCAAAGTATCATTACATATTCCTGGTTTCGAATTTGGTTTGAATGTTAAACATTAATTTTTGACTTAAAATTCACGTCAATGAAAAAATGAATGTAAAATGAAATGTAAAAGGAAACTACTTAAAAATACTTTTAGGACAACCCGTTTCAATAATCTACAAAAACCCAAAAACCCCGGAAATACCCCCAGGACTCGGTTTTTCTAGAAAGATTCCAGGGTTTTCCGAACCCTGCTCTTCGATCATTTGACAACTTTACATACATATTTAACTTGACCACTTGGACTGTAAAAATGTACCTACCTATGTACATATTTATATTCTAAATAAGTATAATGCTGTCACGAGGACATTAAAACCTGGCATGGCAAACCTTACAACTTCTCCCCTAGTTTTGAGTACGTGACAATATAACAGTCTATCTAAATACATAGGTACATACGTCCCAGCCCAGTGTACTTAATTAATGTTTGTTTTGTCTTTGAATTTGGTCCGCCTGGGTAAAAGTAAGCATTTTTATCCATGGAATGGAAATTTATGGCTTTTGTTGTGCAAGCCTGACACAACAAAACCAGATATTACCGAACAACTTGAAATTAAACTTTGGGATTATTCCCATAAATAAAAAAATTTGAAAAATTGCTAAAGAATTCCATAATATGTACATATCTACATATATTTATACATATTTACATGGATGAAATTACTGAATTTGTTGCTGTTTAATTGACCCAATTATGCATAAACATTTGCGCAAATACCTAGTATACAGTAAGCCGATACAAAGGTACTCGAGAGTCTCGAGTCGACGTCGAGACTGCCTAGCCTGGAACGATACATACTGGCGAATGCAACCTGATAAACCCACAAAAACTCACGTACATAAGCAACTCTTCTTCTTTGCAACTATCAAATTGAATATATAAGTATGTATGCAAATAATGCAAATATGTAACTTGTAAATTTCCAGTTGCACATTCGCTTATCTACTGATTGATGTTCACGTGGATATGGATTAATGCAGCTACATAAATACCTATGATTCAATATGTAACTACAATTATATTATAAATCCAGTTCATTTTTCAATTTTTTGTTTATTACTTAATGTTTTGCATAACGATCATGGAACCTTTTACTGAGCATTCCATCTTGGTAATAAAATTACTTACACAATTAGATTTACATTAGTCTCACAGTGTTAAAATTCATGACTTTATCTAACATAAATTTCCAGAGTTTATCAAAGCCCGTCATCAGTATACATAAGTTTTTCGTCCCATGTCCATGTTAAATACATATATATAAACATGTATATCTATGCTATGCACGTATGCACAACTTTTTTTATGTCTGCGGACATAGACAATGTATTTCAGCGCCGGAAACTAAGCTCATGTGTTGTACATATCGCCGTCGTCTTATCTAGCCGCATATGTATTTATGTCAGGAAGCTGTAGTGTGGTTTCGGAAAGAAGGGATGAAACATCTATTTATCTTTAGTCTACTTGATAACTTACTACATACACACATCTTGCTAATAAATATACATACTAATAATTTCTCTGCCACGAAATGGTACGGTGTATCAGGAATTCCCCAATGTTTTGAAGCTACTTACATAATTGCAACATATTGTATTAGAGCCTCCTAATTTTTTATCCTCTAGATGTGGATCTCCCATATTGCCACGGTGGGGTTAATCTGTGCACTCATTGTAAACGCGCAAGAATGTCTTCCCTTAGATCAGGACTGCTCATTCTATTCCCGCTGTCTCGAAACGGCCACGCCTTGCGGCCCATCCGGATATGCGATCGGACTTTGCGAAAAGATTTGTCACAGATCTCTCGCTGCAAAATCGCAGTTTTCCCCAGCTGGACAAAAATGGGCTAGGAGTACGACGTTCTGCCTGCAAAATGTTCTCGTGCCCATCGCCAATGGCAACATGACCTTGACCTGTGATGAAATAAAAACTTATGGGTACAACTCGCATCCGGATTGTTATGTAAACGCTGGATTCTGCTCACTCCCAATGGCAGACAAACTTTTGATTTACAATCTTATCGAGGTTGATTATGAAGCTTTGCGGCAGGCTGCCATTATTGCGAGATGGTGTGCAAGGCTGTATTACAATAGAATTTTAAGTCCAGAATTATAAGAATTTTACCCGAAATAAATTCGATATTGAAATGCATATGTAGAACCACGACGTTATTTTTTGATATTTATATTGAGGTCGGAACAATTCTAATAAAATCCATAAAAATTTCACAAATCTGAACGAATAAGTTTTACATGTACATATACATCTGTGTGTAATTTATTTAAGATTAAATCGTTACTGAAATCTCCATTGTCCAGGGCATGTTCGCCCTGGGAGAATTTATTAAATACGATAATCGTCGTTTATAATCCGACGTCCGACCAATTTGACCAAATTTTGTCACCAACGGAAAACTGGTCAAAAACTCGTGTACAAACAGTCGTGACGCCAAAAAGAACAACTTTTTGCTGTCTGAAAATAAGATTTAAAAAAAATGAAATTATTGAATTGATAATTTATTGAATTTTTAAATAACGACGTCACATCTGTTTCGTACATGAGTTTTTGCTGTATTTTCTGTTGGCGACAAAACGTCTGCTTAATCATTGTCCAAAAATAGAGCACAACAATACTTCCACGGGTGACGATTTGTCTCCACGCTATCTAGGGTAAAGTAATATGCATGACCTACGGTGTCAATTTATTTCTCGTCTTGATGTGTTTGCTAAGTATGTATGTCATCTACTCTAATAAAGTGTTAGTATGATCCCTGGGTCCCTGGGTCCGTCTTCGCAATGCAAATTGCCCCATACAGTAGACAAAGAAGGAAGCGGAGCAACCACTGCATGCATGCACTGCACTGCATGAATAAATGAATACATGAACATGTACACCCCACATACATACATCACTCATCAATAGTGGTTATCATGATAAGTGATCGTGATAAACACTATTAATTAATTATTTTAGTTTGAGAAACTCTACCCACAGCGAGTGGCAGATCAATTCGAATGTATTTTTGACGCTGAATCCAACGCCGTCAATGGTTTTGACCTGCGAGGCCCCCGTGACCTCGCCGTGACCGTGGTGTCCAAATCTGGCTTATTCGTGATGTCACATATCAATTCGAATGTATTTTTGACGCTGAATCCGAATCCGTCAATAGCTTGGCGTTAATTGTAGAAGTTAACGGGGTTTATGGAACTTAACGGGAGCGTGAAGCGTGGGAATTTAAATAGTTAGCTATGCAGTTACTCCCACGCGACGGGAATTTAAGTAATTAGCTATTCAACTACTCCCACAGGGGGGAATCAAATTTTACTGTGACCAGGTTAATTAAAATGCAGTATGACTTGGGCAAACCCTCAGTCTGATGTATGTATGTAGTATGACAAAGTCTCCACTGGGAATTATTTAAAATATAGTATGACGGATTTTTCGCTTTGGGCACACCCCCCACTGGAACTCTAGAACCCGGCCTTGGCCGGGCTATACGCTAGTATGTACATATAGAGTTAAATTTATCATGGATGACATCACACAAGCATCCACGCAATTTTTATTTTGAAATTATTTCTCCCTTCCACGTACATATTTCACGTCCAGGAAATACGTACGTATACAATTACTTCTTAATTTGATAAATTGAGGTTCATGTCAATTAATTTATATCAATTTTGTACACATGCACAAGTTAAAAATGCATTAAACAAATTGGTCATAAATTTCATTTACTTATTTCTGGGATCAAAAGGATGAGTCCTCAAAAATAATATGACTCATCCCACTTTGAGTCTGACTGCATAAAATTTAGTGCAACCAGTAGCAAACTCGGTTTCTTGGCAAGATGTTGTCTCAAAGTAGAATGAAATTTGCACTAATTGTTATTTGTTTGATAAGTGTGCCAGTTATATTTAGTGATGAAGTTGGCGTGGATTATGGGCAACCCTGCAACGAGACGACACCCTGCAAAATAAATCATGGACTTTTCTGCATACTTACTGAACCCGGTGGTACCGAGAAAAAATGTGATTGCGAGTATCCATCGGGAATGGTGTATTCCGAAATACAAGGAAAATGTGTGCTTCGAATTGGTGAGCGATGTCCGTTCGGAGCAGAAGGGTCAGACTTGATTTTTAACAATTTGCAATTAATTATAAGCTTCCCTTAAATAGATTTATGTACAGTGTACAAGAAATTTCAGGACTTCTGCAAATTGCAAGTTTTTATATAATGATAATCAGGGTATTCACGACAAGTTCACAAAGTCGCAAAAAATGGCTCAAAAATTCATTTGCGAACTACGTATGTGCTCATCTCTATTTAGTTTGTAAAAGTTTTTCAAAAATTTTTTAAAAATTCATTACTTGCCGCATAGCAAAATAATTTTTGCTATGCGGCAAGTAATGAAATTTTCCAATGTGTCCTTTGATGTGTCACTTACGAATTTAATAATTTTAATTTATTTAAATACCATTAAATATTTAAGAACTAATTATGTGTCACAAATTATTTCGTTATTTATTTCAGCCTTGACGCCTGCGCGGATGGTGCATTTTGTACCGAAATTGAACGATGCACCTGTCCCAAGGGGGAAACGGGCGATGTCACAAACGGTAGATGCGTCAAGGCCAAAGGCTTTAACGCTACTTGTCATTCGAATCATGAGTGTGATCTTGGTCAGGGGCTCACCTGTCAGAATGTAACCTGCACTTGTCCTGAACACACTGTGTACGACCCACACATCCGGTCGTGCAGGATCATTGAGGGACAATCGTGCCATCCAGTAACTCATTTATTTAAGCTTTCAATAGGGGTATTCACGACAACTTTCGCATATTTCGAGCAAAATAGATTTTGCAAATTTTTATTGAAAAACCAAAGAATTTTTCTGCAAAAATTTACTTAACATGTTTTATAATTTCATAAACACATCTTCTTCTCCCTGAAAAGATGGAGATTATATGAAAACTTAATAAAAATAGAAGTAGCTTTGCGAAAACATACCTGCATATTTTGCGAATCGCGAAAATTGTTTCTTGAAAATTTCTTTTAATTTGCTGAGTTTGTGCTTCAAAATAAAACGTTGTTGTGAATACACTTTGTCATAATTTAAAATTGAAACTTTGTTAACTTTGTCTTCCTAAATAGGTGCATCCATTACCAAACTTTGGCTTCGATACGAACCATTGGATGCCGATTTGCGACAAGGGTTCGGGATGTGACCCCGGCTCAAAAACTTGTCAGCCTTGCTCCTCCGACCCCACGGGGGAATGTTTCTGCCCAGAGGAGATGTACATGGACTACATCGGCGATGGCAAGTGCCACCCACAGAAAGGACTCGGGCAGGAGTGCAATATCTCGCGGGAATGCTTAGAAACGAGAAGGTTACGTTGCGAGGAAGGAAAATGTTCGTGCGAAGAAGGCACCGTGGAAAACTTGGAACCCTTTGAAGCCCATAATCCGGACGGAATTAGTTATCGGAGTACGTTAACGGTTTCGAGGGAAATCTGTGTGGGAAAGGTTGGGAATCAATTATCAAAATTGATCTACTGCTAAATTAAAATTTTCAGGGAAAAGTATAAATTTTGGCAAGCTTTTTTATCAACAGTTTAGAATGCATATCCATTTTTAGAGATTCGGTATAGACTATACCGTATAGTCATGGAAGTGTAAATTCCCCGGTATTAAGTCGCGTGGGCGTGATATTAAAATTTGCCGGTTCGTAAAAATTGTCAACCGATATGATAAAACTTTAATACCGAGCTATTAATATGCGGAATTACTGATCAATTCCACTTTGGTAGAGTCATATATGAACAATTGTACCGTTTGCTATTATTTTCATAATGGATTTCTAAGAATGTCCACATTCCGATACGATATATGTACGAATTTGTCCTGTCATATACAAAATTGCAATCTAAACGTATGTAAATATGCATAAACAGGTGGGGGCAGCATGTTCCATTACAGTGATCGGATTCGACCGTACATCACGGTCTCATCCACATCCTTCCAACACTTATTGTCATGAGGACGCAGAGTGTGTCGCAAACAAGTGTAAATGCAAGCCCGATACAATTTTATTGTCCGATGGACTCTGCGGGAGAAACTATGATGAAGAATGTTCCTTGCAAAAACAGTGTGCTGATCATTTCGTTTGTGGAACGTGAGAGACAAATTTTATATATGTTTTTTCACACACATTAATTTAATAATTAATCATTCCGCATTTTTAAGGATTGATGATTCCGGTACTTTGAGATGCCGCTGTCGAAACAAGGATCACGAGTACTATGACGATTCCGCCACACCGCAATGTCGAGGCATGTGCCGACGTCTGACCTATATTGGAGATTCTTGCCACCCAAATGACACTAAAGCGTGCCCTAAGAATGCTGATTGCGTCCAAAACAAGGTGAAATTAGTCGGATTATGCAAAATCTAAATACTATCAATTTCCTTAAATACGTACTTATTTAATTGTTCCTTAGACTATGAATTTGTGGCAATGCGAATGTAAAACTGGCTTCATTTCAAGTTTATCACGCCTCGAGTGTGAAATTGGACACGGTTTTCCATGCAACTACGAGAAAAGGAAGGAACGTTGTGATAAAGTGGCCAAATTGGAATGCCTAATTGTGAAACAGGCAAGTCAAAGTGGCGCCAAAAATAAGATTGATAGAACCCAAGTCTGCAGTTGCCCCAATACGGACCATTCTTATGATGCGGAGAAGAGGAAATGTATTCCTGGATGCGAGTAAGAAAATCTACATTTTATTATTTTTGGACAGTAATTAAATGCGATTTTGATTGATTCCCACGAACTGGATATGCATATGTACATACATAAAACTTATAATTCCTGTTTATGTACATACACAGACCGTCTGACGCGGACCCCAATTGTGATTCCGCCGCACTGAAAAAATACCACGGAAGCGACTGGTGCACCGTGAATAATAATGCGACATTTTCGTAATCGAATTTCACTCAGCGAACAAAATATTTAATAAGAGTAGGCGACCAGTTAATAAATAAGGGGCAATTAGCAATGTATACAGATAGAATATCATTGTAGTCCAATGGTAGGGCACTTGAGGCTTAATCAAAAAGGTTCCGGCTCGGAAGGTGGTTTTCATATGTATGTTTTGCAAATATTCCTCATAGATGCTAACTGGTCGGCAACATTCAATTCCTACGCGAAGTAGCTAGCAAAAAAACGACATAAAACCGCAGTAACGTTGGACATAAATTATTTCTAGTGTATTATTTACATTAACCACTTATCTATAGATAGCTAATTACAGTAAATAAAATCTACGTTGCTTAAAATAATCAAGAATTACACATTATTCATACAAGGGCATAATAATTGAACCAATTTTTATCATATTGGTACGCATGTACATCAGACTATAATTCTAGCCCGGGCTCCCCTATCCCTGGCCCGGGCTACTTGCATTACGAGATAGGCGGTAGCCCGGGCTAGAATTATAGTCTGATGTACATTATGTATTACGAACACAAATCTCTTGGTTCTCTAGCAAAAGTTTTGCGAAATCTCACAATTTCTAGAAAAATTTAAGGTCATGCTAAATTTGCGAGATATGTATCACATACATACATGTGCGAAAGTTGTCATCAATGACTACGCCCAATACACATATTTACATATCGAATCATTCCATTCATACTTTGTTCTATCAATTAATTAAACATGTAGCGAAGCTTAAGAAATTTACTTTCCCTTTTTGGCTTCCTTTGCAGCCTTCTTTGCTGCCTTCCTGGCCTCCTTGTCCGCCTTCTTTTCGGCTTTTTTGCTTTTATCTTTTCCCTTGCCTTTTCCCTTTCCTTTCCCCTTTCCTTTACCCTTCCCCTCGCCCTTCCCCTTATCGTCTTCGCCACTATCTGAGTCACTATCTGAGTCCATATCGGCGGCCGCAGTTGAACCTTCCACTTCCTTATGATGACCCGCCGGAGTCGTTCCAGCCGCTTTACCGGGCGCCGGGGTTGTTGCCGTTGTTTTATGACCCGCCGGCGTTGTTCCCACATCCTTATGACCCGCCGGCGTTGTTGCTGCTGCAGCCTCAGGTTTTTTGGTAGTCGTCGCTAATTACGTACATACATTATTTACTGAATCATGTGCTTCGCAAATAATTTGTGCAATTTGCAAAAAAATCCTTTTGGATTTTGTATACACAAATTTAATTCGCAAAAGTATTTCTGACTCAGTCGGTCAATTAGTTCTGAAATAAAACGCTGACCTAAGTGTGAAGTTAAAATTGAAAATTCCCACTTACTCTCGACAGCTCCCGGCTCTGCAGGGAATGCCTGAAAATTTCAAATTTATGTAAAATATTGGTACACTCATAGGAAGAAACTAGTCAATTTTGCGCCTAACCTGTGTAATGACTACGCAAGCCAGAACCACGATAAGGACCACGGCGGCCTTCATTTTTCAGAGAGAAGTGGTTTGTGATGTTGGTGGAAAACAAAAAAAATATGGATTGACGATTTTAATTGACCTCAACTCGGAATTTATACCCAGTTTACGCATGACGTAAAATATTATTTCGCAAATGCGCAGTGTTTTTGAATAAATGCAAGATAACTTTCCATGCAGTAATTAAAAATTCAAGTAAACAAGATGGCTAAATTCAAGGACCAAATGCATTTTGTTTGGTTGCATGGTTATGAATATGTAAATTTGCATTAAATTGCATGTATGCACACATGCAACTTTGGTAAATATGTGAACAATGGCACATAGGTAAGCAATGACTTTGTTTTTTGTACTCTGTGAACCTGTTTTTTTGTTCTTCTTAATCTTAATAGTGTTAAAATTGGTAATTCAAATGACGAATCATTATTGACAATGACAAGGCGGAATTGTATTTATGTATAAGTATGTACATACATAAGTGCTCGAATTAATGGTTGGTGAGACGACATAAACATATTTACAGTTTTGTATATAAAGAAAACTCTGAACTTTTATTAACAAAATTAACCCAAATTAAATAATTAACAATTTCAATGTCATACCCGTATCCACTAATTGTCTAATTTCTTAGCTAATAAGCTATATATATAAATTCTTTTAACAACACCGTAACAATTTGAAAAAATGGAAGACTAAATAAGATTTGTAATATCAAAATGCAGATCAATTGTTAAATTATTGAGATTCGTTTTAAATAAAATCTAGAGTTAATAAATTTGTAGAAAATTGGTAGATTTATGAAAATATCTCTTCGACCGCAACTCGCTTGACATTTATTGCAGCTCTTCTAGCTTCAAATATGGATCGCATCTGATCCACAAATTCTGAGTCCTGGAAAATATACGTACATATTTTTTAAAGTTATGTTATTTAGAAGAAATTATCCTACCCTCAATATTGGATACTTACGAGGCACACCCCCATTTCCAAAGTTTTGAAAAAGTCACTAAAGTGAATCATTTCCTCCAAATGACCCGTAAATCTTGACTTTGTCAAATTCAAGTAAAAGTAAAACTTGGCCGTTTTGACGCCTGTAACATAAAAGTAAACATTAAAATATCGCCCTAAATTTATCGTTATTGGTAGTTTGTTAGTACCCTTCCAGTTCAATATGGTCCTTATGACTGGTATGACGATGTTGGAATCACATACTTGTTTCATCACCACATTCGCCACGTTCAGATTCCAGAGTTTGAAGGGTTCCATTAACCCCAGGTCAAGGTTTTCTAAACCGAAAAGTTTCCACGTAAAATCAAGCTTCGTCACGCTGGGATACAATTTGACCAGTGTTGCAGCAAATTGATTACATTTCGTAGAACCAGCCAGGGACAAGGTGAGAGATTGGATTCCGTGGTGCGGCGTCCAAAAATTTGGATGATAATCTAACCCCGGTGTCTCGAAAAAGTTGACGAGCGTGAGGTTCTTCAAGTTCGGGAGGCTGTGCTCATTCAGCAAGTCCAGAATTTGGTAAACATCCGCGGCAAGAAGATCCACAACATTTGGCATGACGGGAAGGGCCAACTTGCCCACCTGTGCATGTTCATGTCACATTTATAAAGAAAGTGTCACAATTATATCTTAAATTAAATATACTTATGTTTACCCTCTGTAGAGTAGAAATTCCACGTGTGAAATAATCCAGCTCGACATGAACGAGAGAACCCTTGACCTGTTCCAACATTCTGGTCACGGCGGCCAGATCCAAGGCAACAACTAGATCGTCAATCCCTTCAAATCGGAATTTTAAAACTTTCAGACTATCGCAAGATATCAGATTAGGGCAGGTGGTTCCCTCGATTTCCAAACTCGTTAAATTAGGGGCCGACCATAGCCAGGCTCGCCAAATGGGGAGCAGAATTTCCTGGTTGAAATAGTATTCGCCAGGCCAGACACCTTTCCTAAAGTCCATCTTAAACTTGAGCGAGGTGAGGGTGTTGTGAAGAGGGACTTGACCAACGAACGGAGGAATCATGTTGCAAGTCATGTAGACTGAGACGGTAACATGTTTTAAGTTCAATGCATTCCAACTCTCCATCCCTCGGAAATGTGTATTGACGAAGTTGAGGTTTCCAATTTCAATGCTCAGTTCACGTGTGAGTTGTGCAGCCTGCGGGATGGCGGAGATTACCCTCTTGATCACATTGGGCCAGTTCTCATAGGGCAGCGAGAAGTCGTTTCGGTGACCTGCCGAGGAGAAGTAGAGTCGCTTGAGCAGTTGGTCATCAACTACGAGGTCAGTCTGCTGGGTGGCTTTGAAAGTGTCAAATTTGTTGCCGTTGAGAAACGTGCGCTGTCCTAAGAGCGGAGTGGCGATCTCGCACCATTGACGACAGGTGAGGCGAGCAGCCTTCAAGCTGGGGACATTTAGCAGGGGGAGAACGATATCTAGAATCTGGCGAAGTAAAATTCGCAATTAAAGTAAGGATATTTATTAAATTGAAAAATGTAATAAAGTGTCCAGCGACTTACGATCGGATCGGATAAGGCTTTTGATGACGCGGTAAATTCCATGCTATCCCCAGCTAAAATAAAATGTAAAAATCATCGAATGTAAGATATGCTCGCAACAAAAAATACTTTTAAAGTTGTATAATAAATTCCATTACAACTTGAAAAACCTGTGATAAGCATAAGAATTGGTGAATTGTTTACCCAAAGTTTGAGACTCTAAGGTCAACGCCATCCTGACAAATTATCCTGGTCGAATGGACGTAGTCTTACATATATTTCTGTCCACACCTGAAAAATAAAAAAACTCGAATTAATCAAGAGTTGATCAAGTCGTCGACAAGATAACGGTGCAGAGTATCTTTAAATTACACAATGCAATTTAAATTAATATAATTTAAGCGAACTTGCCTTTTTCCTAAAAAGTTAAAAAAGAGGGGAAATAAAATAACACCCTGCTGCTGAATGACGCCAAAATATGGCACGTTGGCCGGCTCAACTTTAGCGGTGTGAGTTAACTCATGATGAGATTAATGAGACGAACGATATTTGCGAATTTGGATTGCATCATGCAATTTGCATGGCCATGAATGACCATTTTCGTTATAAAATTGATATCAATTGATAAGTCCGATTTTATTTATTTATATCATCAATTTGTATTTATCTTTATTTGCCAATATTTTCACATTGGGAACAATTATTTTTGTGCGTTCAACGGTGGTACATAAATCCATTTATAAAATCCGTTTACATAAATTCATTTGACCAGCTTGTTCTCACGTGAATGTGTCCCAACATGTTTTTTTTATTATTAAAATGATAATTGTGAGCAATTCAATTTGAAACAATTTATCATTTACATTATATCCCTAATCACGATCACGCATTTACTAATTTTATGATATTACACGTATGGTTCGACTCTCCATTTTTGATAAATGTTTGGACCATCGTCCTCATGGATGCACACCTTCCTTTCAACGATTATTGTATCCTGGTTATTGTTCAGACATCTTTTCGAACGCAAATTCTTAATTGTAAAGGTGCCGTTTTTCTTTTGTTTTGCAAAGTTCCATATTTGACCTCGATTCGTAGCGTCGCAGGGTTCAAGCGTTACGTACTTTTCCAGGGTGTTGTCCGTAATGCAGACATGTTTCCCGCTGGTGGTTTTATTGTCGTAGTTGGCTATCGTTTCAACAGAATTGTACAGCCAGACAAAAAAGACAGAGCCGTCACTTATTTCAGCAACGATTCCAGGGTGGGCACGGCTTGTGAAGGCATTTTTTGAACCATAGTTCGTAATTGTGATTGCAGTACCACGAGAAATGTCAGATTTCACGAATTCTGGTAGAGAAAAAGTAGTGCAGAAAACGAGCGACGTGATGTAATTCATTTCCTATCAGTTTTAGGAAGGCAAAAAGTAGCATTTTAAAACTGCGTAACGAGTCAAAATGTTAAACTTACCAGGTTAACAGGTGCAGCTATGTACACAAATACGTAAATTTATAAAATTTCACTTGCTTAAATGGGATTGAGTAGGATTTAGATTTACATAAATACATACACACGAGAGGAACTTATCACATTTTACGTTGTGAACAATTGGGCCAGTGTACCAGAATTATCTGTATGCAGTGTTAAATTGAGTACGAAACGAATCGTATTCATGCATAATGATTATTTTTGTGGGTACAAAATATTTATTTGGATCGAGGCATGGTCATGAATTTTAAAATGCATAATGCATGTCTTTATCTACGTTTTGCGATTAGAATTGGTCTAGGTTGCAATTCGCTAAAATGTGTGCTTAGAAAAAACGAAAACTTGTAGATTCTGGAATTTATGTACGAGTGACGAGTGTACTTTTCGAACTAGAATCTACATTATGTCGAAAATAGATAATAATTATGCATGTAATCTCGGTGTCCAATTTCATTGCTGTTAGATCCTACTTACAGCTATGAATATGCATGAAAGGGCAAATTTGTGAGCTAATAAAATCCTATAAAACTAAGTTAACAACATTGAAAACGTATTAATTTTGTAACATATTTATTCCCCGATAACACACGTGTCCATAATGAATGCTAGTAACAAAAACTACAAACACATCAATCATATAATTATTATCGCAAAATTAACTAGTTCATCATGAATACAAGATTTAAAAAATTCATCCTCTTACAAAACTACTCAACACGTAATGGACTGCGAATTACATAGCAATAAATGTCAATTCAAATCTAAGCCAATAACCAGTCAATTCTTTAATTGTCCCTCACACCTTCGTAATCTGTTCATCCATTCGTTCCTGGCATTTGGGAATACGTCTCCCAAGAAAAGCGGCAGAGAGTAACTGTCATCACGGGTCGGGAGTTCCAAATGTTGCAGAGTTTTACAAATTTGTCCTTCCATGGGCCGCAAGCTGTCAATGAGGTCGTAATACGTTCTCCAAAAATCAGACGTAGTATCATTAAATTCTGGCTTCACGATGAGGGAACGAATCGCGGGGAAGTGTCGCTCGTACTCGATAGGACGCAGTGAAGGGAATGCGACGCTTAATCTGGCCACTTCCTTGACTTTACAAGTCATCCAATCCCCAACTTCTTCGTAATGGTTCTTATTCTCAAAGTCCCCAAAGTGAAAGTCCAAGCTTTTCAGTTTCGGAAAATATGGAAACTTCAGGACGAACTCAGAAAATTCTTCCAGGCCTTGCGTGGAGATGCGGAAACTCAACAATTCCAGGGAACCGGCGAATTTCTCGAGCAATCTCTCAAAATCTGGAAGATGTTGATTTTCCAGAGGAAGCGTGAACGTCAACTTCTTCAGGGGTTGGTTCAACTCGGTGAGAAAATCGAGTCCATCCTCTGCCTTGCAAGTTAGCAGGATATCGCGCAGATTATGATAATTTTCATGGATTTGTAACTTCCGGACAAATCGTGATCCAAGAGAAGCATCGCCCAGAGTAGAGATGGACTCGACCCCGGTAACCGAATCTGCCCAGCTTTTCATCCACGTCGCAGTCAATCCTCCAATGAGTCGGCTATTAAATAAGCTCAGCTGCAGTGAAAACTTTTTCAGCTTTTTGAAAATGATGGGACTCGATTCATATTCGATCTCGGTTCCATTTCGGTTTAAAATCGCCATGCCAAAGTCGAGACGCAGTTCTTCCAGGGTGTCCTTAAACTGGGTTACAGCCACGAGAAATATGTAGTAATCACAGTTGGAGCAAATGCCCCCTTTCAAGGACAAACTCTTGACGTGGTGTCCTCTGCGGGGGTTGAGAAACCAGTACAAATCACCGATATACTTGTCCCCCCATTTTCCTTCGTCTTCCCCACTAGCTGGTAAGTCTGGATAGGTTATCTTCCAGTTTGTCCAGGGTGCGACGTTCTGCATTTCATGGAGGTATCTTGAAAATTGGAGGGAAGCGTTGAAAGAATTTGATTCAGCGTCAAAATGAATGAGGGATTTCTTGCGCAAGATTGGAGAGATTTGTTCATCCCAGTGTTTACAAACTAGTCGAGCGTTCTTCATGCTCCCCAGGGGGAGATAGGAGAGAATATGGGAGAATATCTGTGAATTAAGGGGTGGTGAATTAATTTAAATAAAAATAAAAAATTTTCAATAATTTCGTATTTGTTCCGCGTACCAACTGATTTTCATCTGGTGTAAAGGTTAATTCGTCCGTATTCTCTGGCACCTTGAGAATCACCACCTCTTCACTGTTGTCCCAATTTGTGACGAATTCCCGTTCCTAAAATAACCAAATAGTTCATCAATGATCAATCAACATCGATAAACAATACAATTGTTGCAATGTCTTTACCTTAAAAAGAAAGATGGCAAGTCCGCCAGAAATGCCGTTACGATGTTTGGGAAAGGCTAATTCGTCGCCAAACTCGAGTCGAGTTCTGACCTCATTATCAAGGTTTTCGCCGTTCTGCAAAATTGTGTTTCCCTAAAAATTGCAGATTACTAATTAGTACGAATTACACATTTAGATGATTTAGGTAAAATAGTGAGTAATTAATTTAATATTACCTACCTTGAGAGGTTTGACCCAGTATTTGTCATTTTCGCACGAAATTTCCATGAGGGAGTTCGGAATCCAGTTCCATTTGTCGTCGTTGGCCTTTAAAAAAACAAATTTGCCCTGCGCCTCCCACGAGGTGTACTTTTCGCCAAAGGTGTACTACAATCATAACACATTGCATCAAATTAATATGCCGCCCATAAAAATTCCAATTAGTTCGAATTAATCAAAAACTCACTTTACAACGTTCCCGATAAGGCAAGATAACTGACCGCATACCGCAATCCGTATTCGACTTGGCTTCAAGAACACCATCCACAAGTTGGGATAATTCTTCCATTGCTTATTTAATTGTTCCAATGGCAGTGGAAATATTAATTCGTCTTGCTTAATACTTAATAATATTGAAAATTTCAATTTGAAATAATTATTTTTGAGGCAAAAGTTGTACGAGACGAGATAAATAAACAAGAAACGACTGATTTTGTTTTTGGTTTCACGGACTCTAATTACGGGGCAAAGGTAGAAGTCGTCATATGTTGAAGGAGAAAATGTAAATCAGCAATAGCTCGAGTCGCAAATGACCATGGGTCAGTGTTGCTTAATTACTTGAGTTTGTAATTAATTACTAATTACTTAATTACATTTGACGAAAGAAAGTAATTAATTACTCAATTACCAATTACATCAGTCAAGTAATTAATTACAATTACAATTACTTCTGTCAAAAGTAATTAATTACTTAATTACAAATTAATTACATTTTTATATAATGATATGGCAAAATCTTAAAGGTATGTTATAGTCACGCAGGTATTAATTTCCCGGTATCAAAGTTGCTACCGCTTGGTCTTAAAATTATACCAGTCGACTGGTAACTTTTTACCGATCCGAAAAAATGTGTTACCTATATAGTAAAACTTTAATACCTAGCTATTATTACACTGCATTACTAACCACTACCACTTTGGAAGAGTCACATATGAATACCGCTTGGTATATAATATTTTAATACTATATTTCTAAGAGCAGAAATATACTAAAGAACTGCAATTAACCTCTTAAGATTAATCTAATCCAAGTACATATATTCCAACAAATCAAATTAAAAGAAAATGAATAATTGATACCGGGAGAGTAATTAACCAAAAATTAATCTTCACGATCGACTAAAAATGATCTTGCAAATCACGATTTTGCTAATATGCATTCTAGTTGGAAGCAATCAAGTAATTAATTACTCAAAGTAATTAATTACTTTGTTACTCAATTGAAGCCAAGTAATTAATTACTAATTACAATTACATTGCGCAAAGTAATTAAACTCTAATTACTAATTACTTTTTCGATTTTTCTTGTAATTAATTACGTAATTAATTACTTTTGTAATTAATTACTACAACACTGCCATGGGTCAAAATTCGAAAAGTAATAGAGTTTAAAAATTTCAAATTTTCTCGAAATTCCGGTTTTTAGAATTGTAAAAACCGGTTTTTGGTTTCTCTGAAAACCCGTTTTTTCGACTTTGAAAAACCAGTGGCCACTAGTTTTTTATGGGCTGAATTTGTTTATTTTGAGCATTGGTAGACAATGTCTTTTGCAAATGTAATATACATATATTATTTAAATTTGTGATCCATTGACACAAATTTGGTCAAAATCGGAGAGCATTCGCTGGTTTGCACATGGACATTAAAATCATACAAATCATACTTCATTACATGCACATAAATTCATGTTAAAGATTAGTTCAAACTTTAAAGTTTTCGGGAAACAAAGATACTTAAATTATTTATTACTTCTTTGAATTTGGATAAATGATAAACATTTATATATTTGTATTTATGTATGTACACATATTTTTCTCACTACGTTTACTAAATTATTGGAAGTATTTTTATTTATTCTTGTTTTATTTGCTGTTCCTCCTGCTGCAGGGCCACGATTTCCTCACGATTGATAAAGTAGTAGGATGGTTGACGACCACGCTGAAGGAAAATTATAGATTTTTCAGTTTAATCGACTAGTTAATTATTTAAATTTATCTTCCTTACCAAGTCTTTAACCACTCTCTTCGCCCCATTCCTGACCAACAGGCGTGTCATCTTTTCCACCTTTTCAACCCCCATGGCATAATGGAGAGGGGTGCGGTCCAGCTATGAAAAATGGCGAAATTGTATATAAACCATGGCGAGAAAAAAAATGCTAAAAGTTACCCAATCGCCCCTTTTCAATACGGATACTTCGTCTCGATTACTGCCCCCACCACCCACGCCAAACCGCTCCACGAGATATTTAACAATTGGGAAGTCTTCAAAAAGTACGGCGACGTGAAGAGCAGTTTTTCCCGCAGGACCAAGAGCTATTGCCAAGCGTCGATCGGTTAAAGTGAGGGTGCGGACCTAAGAGAGATGGATAATTAATGAATCTCCATGGTCACCATTAAAATATATGTATGTAAAATCCTGAGTCATGTGAATTTGAGTAATATTGCAAATAATCTTAAAACAATAATTTCCTAAACTTACATAAAATTAATACGTATTGATTCTTAACAAAATTTGAAAACAATTTTTTCTATTGTTAACCAATGAAATGAGACTCTGACTCTTTATATAATAAATGGAGTGATTTAATTACTTAACCCTTTAAACTGTAACGACGACAATTGTCGTTTTATAAGAAATGGTTTAATTCGGGAGTACGACAAAAGTCGTCCTGAAAAATCGTGGTCATGACGCGGAAGGACGACAATTGTCGTTTCCAGGAGGTCATTGATTTTCATCATTTTCTTTCCGCGACCTAAAATTTGTTGCAATTTTGAGGGATTTCTCCTATGCCAACACAATGCTAAATTTGATGATGTTCTTCCCAAAAATTTGGATATTTCCCTATACAACTCAATGTTAAATTTTTGATCTTTCAGTTTTTCGAGTTTTATTAAAAACTCCTGAATTTCTCCTCCCGCGCCATGACCACAAGATACTTGTAGTGTCCCCGATTTAATGCATTTTCTTGTCGTTAATCATACACGCTAACGGTTAATTAATACCATTAATTAACTAACCATCTCCAAATCCCCACTTCTCACTGCTGCATGCAACTTGTCCAACTTTTCCCGAAAATCTGGTATGCTTCGAAGAAACAATGCCACCTCCCGTTTCCCCGCTTTCTCCGCCAAGTCGATAATATGGTTGTGGGAGGAGTCTTCCACCGTGAACTGTCAATTTCCGAAAAATTTTCAAGGTTCAAAATTTTATGAAAAATAATATGTATCAGATCATACTCACCGCATCATACCCATCCAACAATAGACTCGTCAATGACCCCACATCCCCCGCAATTGCCAAACTGACCAGCCATCCATCAATGGTACGGACATTTTCCGTCCGTCCCAACCCATTCGCGACGTCTCGGGCCGTTCGAAGTTTCTCATCTCGCCAAGACTAATTTAAAAAAGCACAAATCATAAGAAACAAGATCAATATTTTTTCTCCACATAAAAAAACTTACCAAATTAACCGATGGATTTTGCAAAAATGCCAAAATCGTGGATGCTCCACCCTTAATTAATTGCAAATTCATCAAATTTTTATCCAGAATTTAGGAAACTTTTAAATAAAAAATGCTAACCGGCCTTGCCGCCGCGAAATGTAGCACGCTCTGTCCCCTATCATCCCGCGTGCCAGTTTGCCCCCCACCTTGTCCACTTCCATCGCTCCCACCATTTTCATCTGGATCATCCATCTCATCCAAATTATTTATTTGATCCAGCTCATCGTCGTTATCGGAATCGAGCGTCTTTATCAATTTTTCAGACTCTTCCTCCAACCGGATTTCCTCCTCTTCGGCCTCTTTTTCCTCCACAATCCCGCCGCTCCCCCGCAAACCGGCCCCACCACTGAGCCCGTTTCTCTCCAAGAGTCCGGGAGTCACAGCACGCCCACTTTTCAACCTCTCCTCCACTTCGGGGGGAATATTCGATGCTAAAATTTCCCCATTTTTATACGTTTTCAAAAAATTCGCCAAATATTCGACCGGATCGTTTGGTCGTTGTTGCGAAACTTGGGTGAGACCTTTGACCAACGCGTCGCCAAGAACGGTGGCGAGATATTTGCCCTCTTCCGACCAAATGGCGGGGAAGGAAGTGCCGTCCTTTTCCGTGGTGGTCATCGTTGCTACTTCCGCGTCAAGGTCGCCGTCCTCGTCGTTGATTTCTTCTTCTTCGGCGGCCGGGTCTTCGTCTAGATGGAAAACAAGGAGGCGATTCACTTCAATGGTTGTAACCCGGTAAACTGTATGCGTTTCGTAAATTTTGGAAAAATTTGGTTATGAAAATTGAGAGGTAATTTTTACAAAATCGGAAAAAAACTTTCCTCTGAATGTTTCATACTCGTATGTTTTTTTTTTTGGATTGTGTACAATTTACGCAGTTACAATTTAATGTGAAACATGCAGTTCACTCCGATATTTGTAATGCAGGAAACTGTACAAATTTCGTAAGCCGTTTGGCTAGACACAATTTTACGAAATTGAGAAACCGTAAAATTCTGTGTCAATTTTTTGATTTTATACAGTTTACGCCTAGATGTAAAACATTGAAGTAATTCATGGTGACTTTCGTGAACCTTGTAAACTGTGTAAGCTTTTTAAATAAATTAGTTTACAGAAGTTTATGAAATAAAAATCGGACTCCGTTAAATTTTATGATGGATTTTCATCATTATATCTGTCTGTAAAATTTATAATTTTTTTGTTTTACACAGTTTACGCAGTTTACAACCATCCCCGTGAGGGCATAAAAAACCAACAAAAATAAAATTAAAAGAATAAGGTGCAAAGTTAAATAAGCGTGTCTGTCTGTGTACAAAAAGCATTAAAACGACCGCACCGCTCACACGCTTTTTTAACTTTGAATCTCATCTTTAATTTTACTTTACTTATTTTGTTATGGTTTACATACATCTTAAAATTATTTTCTAATTTCACAAAAAATTTCAAAACTAATGTCCGCTAGTGTATGCAATACAATAGCTCATTTTTTCCCACCACCCGTAGCTTTTAAGTCATGTTCACGGCATAAGGCTTCCTCAACTTTTATCACCTCGCCGACCCCGTCAACTACCCGTTTCGCCAATTCTACTTCGTTTAGTCCGAACGTTTTTGAATTTTCGACCTCAATCCAGTCTTCTGGATCGATATCGCCCGTGGGTGTAGTCGCGGTCAAGTTATTACTTGATTTCCCGTGCCATTTATTTAAGCAGAGTGAATTTTGGTTAAGTAGGGTGAGCAGGGAGAGGCGATTTAGCATTAAGTGGGGCAAGCGGAGACGGAATGTTACCTGGAAAAATAAAATAAAATAATTAGTTATTTGGTTTTCATGAAAATTTATTATTTTTTTTGGAAACTTAAATGTGTACCTTCATTCCCGTCCCAGCTCGAAACGGATCAACCGTTAAGAATCCTACCTCACTTGACCAATGATAATCTAAATCTTGGCTGATCAAGTCGTAAATCTCGCTCATTTCAACTAACAACGGCCCCACCCTGCCGTACATGGCGCGCACTATGAAATCTATATGATCCTGGGCGTGGATCCAGATTTGCGCGGAGTTGTCAGGATTAATCCAAACGTAGCGGGATTTTGGCCAAAAACGGGAAATCTTTGTTGCCTGGAATTGGTATAAAATGGGAAATAGTTAAAAAATAGAAATGTATATATTCATGCGAAATTTGTAAACTGTGTAAATTATTGGAGAAAATCGTGCTAAATTGACAGAAGAAATTTGCGAAATTTCTAACCTATACGAAATTAGTATAGTATTTTGAAACGTACACAGCTCTTAAGATTAGTGTACATAACTTTCTAATGTGGAATGCTTATTAACACGTGGATATATTAACACGTGGAAAAAATATGCAATTTATTTAAAAGCATGCAATTTTTTTGCACTTTTTACAGCTACGAAATTTAACACAGTTTACAAATCTCTACGCAAATTCGAATATTCCCACCAAATATGTACTCACCTCTACAATCCCCGGCCACACCCCCCTCCCGCCCCCCTCTCTCTCCTCTCTTTCTTCCTTCTCCCCCATTAATCTCTCATAATCTACGCGTTCCCAATTTGCCAACTTTTCCCCAAAAACCTTCTCCACTTTCCCACTAATCTCTTCTAATCCCTCCCTCCTCAACAAACTCACGAACGGGTACGGCCTCAAATTTCGACTCAGCCTAATTCGAACCTCCCGCACAAACTTGGCGGCTATATCGACATTTTTAATGTCAACCTGCATCCCCTTTTTGATCCCGCATTCCGCCACCAAATTCCCCCCGCCGCCAGCAGAACCCCCACCCCCATCTCGCACCACGGGGAGGAACAACTCCCTAAAAACCCAGTAGCAATGCGGGTCCGGCGCAATGAGGAAATATTGCGGGTAGAATTTGATACAATCTAACAACGTAGCGCCAAATCGCGGGGTAGAGCGCCCCTTAATCTCTTCATACAGGGGAAACGGGAGATATTTCCGGATATAAATTCGCGCCTGATCGTTCCCGCTTTTTCTCAGTTTTCGCCAAGTTTTTACCCAGATGGAGCTCTCCTGTTGGTGGATTTGGTTATAAAACGCGTCCAGCAGTTGGAGTTGGGCGAGATCCAGTTCTAAATCGGCGGGGGACGAAATGCTCTGGGTGGTTTTTAGGTAGAGGGATTTACCTTGTGCGGGGTCGTCGTCGTGTCCCCCGTCTTCCGGTTGTGGGGAGGGGGGACGTTCCCAGGTGTTGACTTCGGCGGGTGTTTTCGGTTTTGAGGATCCGTTGACGGGATCCATTAGTTCTTCGCGGGTGAGGAGATCCTTGCGACGGAGGTAGACCTGTGATTTACGTAATTTTGCAAAATGTACTTGTGAAAGGAAACTTTGAGAACAAAAATTTGCGAAATTTACCCCAGGTGGGTTATCATTGATATCTTTGATGTTAGGATCTGCCCCGGATTGGATCAGTATTTTATACATGGTGCCATGATCGGGGAGAGTGGCGGCGTAATGGAGCGGCGTTCTACCCGAATTATCGGGGATATCGGTTCCCTGTAGAAAAAAGTTGGAATGGTTTTCATGGGGATTTTTTCTAAAAATTTTAAAATTGAAATTTTACTTGATAGTTTCCGATCAGATATCGCACCACGCCAGCATGACCGCCCAAAACGGCCATGTGGAGGGCCTAGGGAAATTAGTAAAATTAGTTTTTTTACACAAATAATCTCCATGACAACGGAAATTTTAAAAAATATATATTTACCACTCTTCCTCTCTCATCTCTCGCCTGTGCTAATCGTTTCCGATCCAGGAGAGATTGTAGGTCGCGTAAGTTTCCATTATTCGCGGCGGAATGGATGGATGCAATCTTCGCCATGTATGCTGGCACGTTAGTCAAGAATTCTGCCACTTCCGGGTGCATGGACGAGGTCGGGGTCCGGTTTACAAGGAGGGAACCCTTCCCATCCAACACCAAAGTTACCAAAGATTCCATATTTCTGAAATTAAATTCGATAAAGATGAATTGCTCAATTAAATAATAATTAATTAATTAGTTAGATTACCCATCTTGAATCAACTGATCGACATCCTCCGCCGTGACGACGTCCGGAAGCGGTGGTAATTCTTTCGCCGCATCATTCTCCACCGGTGTCGGGCTCCTTGGCGGAACTTGTGGCGTCGCCAAGCGTGGCGTTGGCGTTCTTGGGGGCGGAGTTTGATCCGTTATTTGCTCCTCTTCTGGCTCCACCTCCACCTCCGGCGTTTTGATTGGTTCCTTCATCGGCGAAGTGATCCTTGACTGGTCCATACTTTCCATCAATTCCGCCTCGACATTCTCCTCCTCCTCTTTTTGCGCCATTTCCGCCTCCATTTCTTCCCTGAGAACTTCCCCTTTTTCGACCAACTCCTCCTCCTGCTCCTCCCCCGTGATTCGTTCGAGTTCCTTCTCCAATTCGTCATCATTCCCGCCCCGCCCGCTCGCGCGACCGTCGCCTTCGTCGTCGTCGTCCACTTCAAAGTCCATCCCCTCCAAGACGACATTTCCTAGTTCGTACTTTTCTCCGACTAGTTCCTCATCGACGACGTATTGATCGCCAACATCGACAATTTCGACTTTTTCGTCGTCATCCCCCCGTAAACTGGCGGGACCCCCGCCTCCACCACCGCCATTACTGGTGACCCCGGCCCTTCGATACTTCGTCCCGCCACCGCCCACGCTGGTATCTCTCCCGCTCGGGATGCGATCCTCGATCGGACTCCCGCCGAATTCCTCCTCGCCGCTGGACTGTTTTCGCTTAATGGATGATTTTCCCCATTCGTGTCCTGCGCCACTGCCGCCGCGATCCCATTCGCCCAGCTCGCCCACAACGCGAGGTGCATCGGGGAGGTGGCGGAGACGACGGATTTCTAGGTCGCTCAATTCGTTCGAATTTGTGGGAACTTCGTCCAGCATTTTGGTCAAGAAGGAGGCCATCGAGGGTGTCGTGGCGTAGTCGAGGACACTCCGACCCATCGAGTCGCGGGCGGATTTTAGTTCCTTGGGGAATTCGTAGGCGAAGTATTCCAAGAGGGGGCGGTGGCCGAGGTGGGTGGCCTGAGGAAGGAAGGGAGGAGTATTAAATATAGTGTATGCATATAGGATTGTTAATTCACGTTGGTGTTTGTAACCCAGTAAAGTGTGTAAAATTGGTTTTCAAAGTTTTTTTTAAATAAAGCGACGTAATTCATAATTCATGTGTGAAGTTTTGGAATAGATTTTTAAGCTGATTTTTTTCGTAACCTTTGTAAATAACGATAAATTCGATTTTATGTAGGTTTATAGAGTTTACCATGTTGTCAATATTGATCAGAATTGTCTCACTATTTTGTAACCCGTGGCTTTTTAATTTGGGACTTCACCCAGTTACATAAATAAACATTAAAATCCGTAAACAAAAGTTTACACAATTTTAGAAAAATTTTCAGAAAAAAATCAGCTTGTTCACAACTTTTTTAAGTTCACAAATTTGTACAAATACTTCACGAGCATCTTTTAACTTAATAACTTTACAAGCTTTACACAAACCTAAAGCGAATTTTCTTTTTGCTACATATTTTAAAGAATTATTTATGTATGTATACCTTCATCACTCCAGTAACGCCATACTGATCTTTCGCCATGAACACCTTTTGATATTAAAAAAACATCAGGTAAACCAAACTAACCAGCATCACACATTTATCTTTTATGCTAATTTTTTTCTACGAACCTCTTCCACCCCTCGCGCTCTCTCCCTCAACGCCTTCACGCGCCCCACATCACCCGCCACACAGGCGGCATGAATATCCTTGTTGAGGCCCAGCAAATGTGGCACATTGTCCAAAAATCGTCTCACTTTCGAATTATTTGTCGTCTCGAGAAGCAACTTGTCTCCCTGACCGGCCCACACGATCTGCTCCAATTTTTTGATATCCCTTAAATATTTGGAGACAAAAAATTACAATTTATGTCAAATTTTGTACCAGTTATTTTTTACCGTTCATGAATCCAGATTCTAATTTGAGCCCGTGTAACAGAATTTGGGGGTGGGATGTATGCATTGCTTTGATACTTGTTGGGCGTGGTGGGTGAAATTCGACGCGATAAGGTTTTATTTCTGGATAAGGAACGCTGATTGTTGAAGGGGGACTCGATATCCAAGTCTTCCGGGTGGGCTTGGTAGTAACTGAATTTTTGTAAAATAAAAATTTATTTTAGGTATCTACGTCAAATTTGTTCAAAATTATGGAAGCAATTCACGAAGAACTTGTAATATCCGCAAATTTTGTAACATGTTTTACAAACTTTTACAAAATACAAAAAATACACCGATGATCTGAGTAGGTTTACACAAATTTGTAAGCTAATTTTCTTTAGAAATATTTGTAAAATTTTGGTAGAAGTGTGTAACTTTTTAGAATTTATGGATTTTACAAGTTACCAAGGCCTATATGAATTGCCTCATGAAATGGAAAAATAGTCAAATTACGGAGGTTTTTTCCCGTGTAGGTCTGGAATGTCTGGCGACGCACCGAGCGTGAGGAGGAGTGGGTACAAGTCTGGCGTGGACGAATTTGTGTGCGACGAGGCAGTATAGTGGAGGGGGGTTCGGCCTTCCTAAATATTTCAGAAATCGTTAGAAATTTGAAGTTCTGTATAGTAACCTTTGTGACATCAAATGATAAACATATTTACATGCAAGAATTTCAATTTCATATCAAATATGTAAAATCCAATCTATTCAACTCGTGCTATCTTACATAACTACTTGAATTAAATATTCATTTAATCAAATCTCACGGAGTCACGGATTTTTGTACCAGTGAAAATTTTATGTTTGTAGTTCGCAGAGGTTATCATGTCCCTTACTCTGGATATTCTTTGTTTAAAAAACTACAAACTATACTAAACCTGTGGATTACTCTAAAAAATCAGAGATTATCTGGAAGATTAGCAGATTACCACATTTTAACCTTTTAGAACAGTTTCACGACTTTCGTGTCTATTATTTGGACGAACACTTCATACATAAATTTGTTAACAAAGTACTTGATTTGAAAATACCTATTTATATGCAAAAATATGCATTAAGTTTCACATGAATAATGTTTAATAAAATTGCATGCAGATAAATCCCACAATTCCATATAAAATTGTTTTAAATTTTATGAACAAATTGCCTTGATATTTTCATACCGGAATAATCCGGCTAAGTAAAAAGTGCAAATCTTTCTTAACCCACGTCATTTCTTTTGACCATCAAACCTAAGTATGTCAAATTTGCAAAATTTATCCAATTTACCCATTTACGCAAAACCTTGTCTTGAATTGCAGCACCATTGATTTATTAAATAGCCACCCTGACATGATGACCCATATTACAACGAGATCAAAAGAATCGATCCCCTCCTGTTTTCTACTCTACTCATCGACCAAACAATGAGTGACACTACGCAAAATAATTAATCACAAAAGAAATCGATTGCGAAATAATCGATCCATTATGTACTCACATTGTCTCTTAGATGCACGACTTCTGGGAATTTCCTGCCCAACCAGTCCAGCAGGCTTTTGTGACCGTAAAGTACCGCTTTGTGGGCTAGACCTCGACCAACCGCGTCTCGGGCGACGGCTAATTTCCGCTTGTCCAGCAGCGACTGTGTTTCGCGGAGGGATCCTCGAGTAACTAGACATGGAAATATTTGCATATGTATATACTGGGATTTTTGATAGGTTGATTATGTAAATATGCGTATCATGGGAGTGGACGCGATTGTTTGTAACACAATAAGAGGAGTAATCTTGAAAAATTTGTGCGTCATTGAACGGATGTATGAAATTTACGGTGAAAAATTACGCTATAAATCCATTAATAGTCTTACACATGCAGATCACGAACATCTTCGTGGTAAAAGTTCGCAAAATATGAGTACAAAACGGATGACGTGTTTTTAAATCGCGTGGCGTGAGCTGCCTGATTGGAAATTTGTAAGATTTGCAAATTTTTAAACAATTCGAGAAAGTTACGTCACAGTTTAGTTGCCATGAAATTAAGTAGGAAATAATTGATGGGCATTAATTAAAATTATGTTTCAAACCATTTAAAATTATTAATTTTTGGGATTTTTTGCTTATTTTATGTTGCGACTTATTCTAAAATGACCTTTGGAGCTGTAGAACTCATTTGTTTTAGATTTCGTAACCTTGTCCACTAATTTACAAAAAAACAAGAATAATTACATACCTGCGTCATGGATCAAGTCCACTTTCGCCATATAGCTTGGCACCGATTTAAGAAACGCTCTCACTTTGGGGTCATTCGATGACTCCATCAAACCCAACAATCGCGCTCCTTGTCCCTCCAAAATTACTGATTCGAGTTTGTCCAGGTCTCCGGAACGGACCCATGATCGGATCGCCGCCCCCTGACCGGAAATGGCTGAAAAGGCAGAAATTTTAAAATTAGCAATAATCAAAATTTTCATCACGGACAAGTTGACAGTTGGCATACTCGATTAGCAAATAATCTTGCAAAATAAAAAATTCCCAATAATTGTCCTATAAATTTTGCAACAAATTTTGCAACAATAATTCCAATTTTCCACCGGCAAAAGTTTTATGTACAAACCTTGAAAACTTTATAAAGTTGTACCCTCAATTTGCGAAATTTTCTTATTATGCGAAAGTTATGCGCAATTACTCCAATTTTTCTGCCATTGTACATATCTTAACTATTTCTGCGTGGGTGTATCCCTACTTAAATTTCCCAGTTTTCCGGCAAAAATTTTTCGAAACCTTGAAAATTTCTTAAAATTATACGTTCAAATTACGAAATTTTCTACCTATGCGAAAGTTATTCGCAATTACGCAAAATTTTATCTCAACTATTTTTTAAGTGGGTGTGCCTTTTGCTTGAATTTGTCTCACCTTTTGGAGGACTGGAGTGGACGTAGACGTTGTTTTGGGTGACGGTCATCATGATGAAGTCGGGGACTGAGTGACGAGTTGAACGCTGGACTTCTCGAATGGCTTAGGGTTAGGAATCGATTTATCCAGGCATCAATTTTTTAGTGGGGTGACATTACGTGGAAGGGAGAGAGTGGTAGTAAGCATGTACATAGCCCTGGTGGTGGTTATTGACACGTTATAATAATGCGCAGTTTGGTGACGATAAATCGATACATTTTGGGAGGAATTATACCACAGTTAGCTACAAATGTATGTGTGGGTATTATCTGTCGCAATCGGGGAAAGTATGCGTTGGATTTTCGCACAAGAAATTTCGCCAACTTGTATATATGTAAGTATCTATGTAGGGAAAAAGGTGTCGGGGTGAGTCTGCATGTAAGCATGCAAAATTGGACAAACACAGGTCGTTGGCAGGGTTCGGAAACAACAACGTGCCCAAGAAATTGACAGGTAGACAGAAAGAAATGGGAAAAATGTCAAGATGTAAAAATTCAATAGAGGTGTTATGTTCAAAAAATAACATTTTGAATATAACAACTCGTCACTCATGGTCATACTTTTCAAAATAAATATGTATGTAGGAAAAATATAAACATTCAAAATAAGGGAAAGGTCGGTTACAATACCTTCAAAAGCTCGCATTTTTGTAAAAATGTGACGAGAGGAAAACAATCCAATTTCTTACTCCACATGTAAGTTTCGTAAAATAGTGACAAAAATATTCACTTAAAATAACCAATTCGTCTTGATATTGGACATAATTAAGTATCTACTAACTCATACATAAATATGTACGTAATCTGTACACGATACATGTAAATATGCATAAAGTTCGATTCACATATGTAGTTTTACGTGCCTACATTTGAGCATTTCAAAGGTTTAGAATTTCATCCAGTTAAGCTACATGTTTAAATTATGCATGTATTTCACACATTCTTGTGAATGCCTAATTCGTGAGTAACTTTGAAACACTGAAACTACTTATATCCATACACGTTGCGATTGTGTGTGTGCATGTACATAATGGTTTCTGCTGTGAACGCAATAGCAATTTCTAAGAAACTCAATCGAATTCACGAGTCGAGTGAAAGTTCGATAAATGTTTTCCTTGTAATGATTTTTCCGTCAAGGAGATAAATACGTACATATCGACACTCATCCAAACAGCACACCTGCCCGAGATCAATGCATATTTAAGTTATTACTTACTTGTTTATCTAGAGCAAGAAAGTACATTCATAAATTTGACCCTTTTTGCGAAATCAATTCTGCAATTTTTTATCAGCCATTCGTAATTGTATGGAACCTGAAAAAGGGTGACTTTCTCCACCAGGAACAGGAACTCGAATTCTTTTTCCCATCCGTGTTTGGTCTGTCAGTTTAGTCTGCACGAATATGTAAATTCTAGCCCGAAATATTTATTTATACATAAGTTAACGATTTATTACCTGATACATATGTAAATATTAAGGCCTCGTTAAATTCGATACTGATGTTACCACGGATTGAAAATTGTCTCAAATTTCTGTCTTTGTTTGCTATATTTATTCATCAGCATTGTAAATGATTTTCGCGAAAGGCACATACATACATACGTAAATTATTCAGATTACGCTATAATAATACTAGTAAAGCTCAACCAAATTTCAGTACGTATATATGTACATAGATACATACATGCCCATGAAAATATGTGCATGCCTAAATATATGTACATACATACCTACATATGTGTAAATATATACATATATAAACGCGGTTTTATTCGTCTGTCTAAAAATACTCTTACTTTAGGGGCTCAAGGTTGTCTTTAAGCATTAATTATTAAGGGTGACATGGAGCTTGAGGTAGTATGTATTTAATACTAAATTAGGTACTGTACATATATTCGGTCGAATCGATTCCTATTTTAGAAATATGTATAGGTAAATGTACACGAGAGAAAATCGAAATTTCTGAAAGATGAAATGATTCCTGATGAGAGACAGGATTGAGCATGTTTTTATTTGCAAATATCAAGTGTCCCCATAAAGAAAGTGTCAAGTTTCCCCTTATTTTTTCAACCACTTACAAATTAATTTTGGATATGTAAAAAATAGGCAAAATATGCAAATTTGATAAGCTTTCTAAAACTGAAAGCAGAATTTGATTATCTCTGTTCGTTAAAAAATGACAGCACAAAATTTAGAGGAAGTGGAAAAATTAGTTTGCCACTCGTGCGAAAAAGTGATTTTTTGGGATCGGAAAAAGGCACATGACCACTTTATCCGTCAAGGAATGCATCCGACAAAATTCATCACACACTAGACATATCTAAGGATTGTGAAAATGCAAAATTTAAAATTTGGCCTTATCGACCTGTCCGCCAGGGAACCCAAATACTGACGAGAAACGTGAAATAGTTTTCTGAAAAAATCCCAACAGATCCGTGAGGGTTGCACCCAGACAACCAAAGATTTCAAAAAAACTATCTTCGCAAGATCATAGCCAATAAGTTGGGCTTTAAAACTTACAACATTATAATCGCGCTAAAATACAATGAAGATAAAAAATCAGGGACTAAAACCGTTTGTCGAAAACTTGTTGAAAAAATGTTAAAATTGACTCTCAAAAGTTTCTCGTCGTGGATGATGAAAACCACTGCACCGTTGACCTCGAAGCGTCAATGGTGTAATGTTCTACTCACGTTGAAGTAAAAATGACGTTCGTTCGAATTATAAATTCAAAGCCAAGCAAAATTTCCAATGAAATACATAAAATGGCTGTCGATGGACGAAAATGAGAGCATCTCCAATACATTCGCTTCAACCATGAATATGAACTTTGCACTTTATTTGAAAGAGTGTATCATCAAGAGATTGACCCCATCTATCAAAAACCAACACGTTTTATTTTGATCTGACATGACTACGTGCCACAATGCCAAAATAGTGACAGGGTACCATCGAGTCAAAAAAACTGATTTCGTCAAGAAAAAAGACATCACTCCAAACGTACCTTAATGTCGGTCCATTTAAAGATTTTGGGCACTAATTGCGTAAAAATATACTTAGAAAAAAAGCACACAAAGAAATTTCAAAAAATTTCGACGGGCTACGGAGAAAATCATTATAAAAGTTGATGAAACGAGTGGCAAAGCACTCATTAGAGGTGCTCGACAAAGTCGGCTCTCCACCGACATACAAGATGTATTTTGACCATTGAAGGACAAAAAAACTTCGGTATACTCATCATTAGTATAACATAAAAGTTTCATTAAATTTGACTCACGCATTCATTTTTACTGGTCTAAAACTTTCTGACACTTTCTTTCTGGGGACACTTGATAGACAAGGTGCTAATTTATTTATGAATATTTAATAATCACCAATTTTGCAAGTTAAGTAATCGCTGCAACAAAAACAACAGGGATTTGAGTGATTTAATTTAAATTTAATATAATTATTATTTATTTTAAATCTGATTGATTGGTGTTGACATAATAAATACGTATCACATTCAATTTCACTTATGTAAATATGTAGCTCACAGAATTAGAGGAGTAATTATACTATCCAATATCGGATGTAGCTCAAGCCAGTCGCTCTTTCTCTCTCACTTTCTGAATTTAGAAAATCAGTATCCGCGTACGTATTATCCGCACACGTTCTAAATAATCAATGCATACATAGATATTTTACAAAACTGTCAAGTCTTTTTTCATGTAGCTCCCATTCATGTTTACCATACACGATGTAAAATGTATGCATGTACGTGCAATTACGCGGCAGATAAAACTTTGCAGAATTGTTTAAATGTCTCGCAAAAAGGGAAAATTTTTGTATTGAAAAAAATTCGTAAATTTTCATTAGTTAGCGAACTTACGCCTTTGAAATTCACCATTTTAAGCACTTCGTCATTATGTTGGATCAGTTTTGATATTAGGTTGAATCGTCAATAGAAATCTAAATTCAAAAAATCCTCGCAGCTAATGGAGATTTATGGGCTTTTCTCTTTGCACAATTTGCCATTGTAGTGAGACATTTAAACCAAATTGTACTTGAACACTTGGGACTCTAAATATTAATACTATTACTCTTTAGGACCAAATCACAATACAAATTCCATCAGTAGACTTTCCATATGTATGTACATACATATGTGTGCACCAAACACGATATAAATATAAGTATTAATTATGGCTACATAAGGTTAATGATACTTTTGAAACTCCAGCTTGACACTTGGTGTGACAAAATAAGCTAAAGTGTACATACATACATACGTATTCAGATCACTATAATAATTTACTACTTTGGGTAAGATATCTAGTTTTAAGCATGGATAAGATATTAGATAAGCTTTCATTACATAACTGGATATAAAAATTTGCACATTGAGTGTGCACATGGAAAAAATATTTTTAATGATTTCTGACTTTGTTTATGACTGTTCACTCACTATTTAAATTTAAATGCGTCTCTTGAAATTTTGAGCAGTGCCTGTTTTTGTTCCTGGAGAACTTAATAATTATCATGAATTTAACAAATAAAAAAATAAACAGAAATGACTTAAATTAACAATGGATCTAAGTAAAGCTAGAATATAGGAACAAATTCAGAATCCTTGCGAAATTCTAGGCCCAAATGACGACCGAACATCACCCCGGAAAACTCGGTTGAATTTCTCTTTCTCAAGGCAGGAACAAGCCCGTAAAATCGGCCTCTATTCACCGTGTCCACTTCAAGAATACGGTAAACCTTGTAATCCGTCGAGTCCGAATCTTCGGTACAACTGGAGTGCTCCAGTTTGACATGTCGAACTTCTGTAAATTCAGAAAAAAATTACATAAGTAATTTGACACATCTCACTAGTGTTTTTGTAATCCAGTAAGATGTGTAAACTTTGCAAAATATGTATAGGTTTAATTTCCCTCGTAATCTTTGCAAATATTGTCTAATGAATTTGTCCAGTTTTTACGAAGTTTTCTATCTGCATTTCTATCTCCTATATACGTATGTAAGATATTAAGATATAAGTGAACTCACTCAATCAGGTGTAAGTAAAAAATCGTATATTTTTGCATTTACCCGTAAATTGTGCGAATGTACAATTTTGAAAATTTCCAGTTAGTTTCAAAACTACTTGCAAACTTTGCTAAATTATTTAGAAAGGAATCCGGGGATAAGTTCACGGCAGATTTTTCATCATCCTAAACTTTTGCACACATTTTTACAAAGTTTACTCGATTTCCTGGTTTAAATCTACACTTATTTACCAGGTGAAAATGTGCTCAGATACTCCAGAAAGTCGAGAAAGGATGAGAAAAGCAGGGGAAATGGGGCCAAGACCGTGAGATGCGTCAACCCCGTTAACCCTTCAAACGTGTTGAATACCATAACCAGGAAATTATCCGGGTAGTAAGATGACCTCATCCATTCGCTCACCGTGACACTCAGTTTCTTCAAGGACGGAAACATTGGACCTAAAATAGGTAAATATTAATATGAATAATTTACAAAGGTACAATAATAAACAACCGTTTTTACACAAAATTCAACATATTTTTCAGAATAAGGCTTTCCAAAAGGAAATCGGGTAAAAAATGATAAAACTTGGGCAATAACTAGAACGGGAAACATTGGACCTCAACTCGAAACATTTAGATGAAAAGAAAATTTTAGAAAAACTAATTTTTCGGATTATATTAGTTTAACAAATTTTCTGTACAGAAAAAACACATAAATTTTGCTCAAAATTGCAGCCCCCAATCCCCAAGTGAATGTTTTTACAAGAAATTTGACAATTTTTTTTGGACCCAAATGCTGGTAAAAACCGCTTTCAAATTCGTGAATCAATCAAGCAATAAAACATTATCAAATATTTTCTAACATCGTAACTTACCAATCCTCTCCAACATACTAGAACTTTCGATTCCACACAACCTCAAACTGGTCACATTTCTCCATACATGACCCCTTTTCAAGATCCCATTTATCAGCACGCTTCCCCTCCGATGCGAGATATCCGGAACTTCACACAAATTCAAATGTTTCAACCCCTCCATTTTTTCCAATTCTTTAATCGGACACTTAAATATCCTCATTCCGCCATTCACAAAACTTTTCAATTTCGGTAATCCTCCTCCCGGGAGGTGAAACTTGTCCCGGAATTGATCAAAATTATACACCCTGGAAAAAACTTGGACATCTACGCCCAACTCCAACCGCTCCAAATAAACTCTCACATCCTCCAAAAACTTATTCAGATTGAGCAAACTTGTCAAGTCTAAATTCGAAATTCTGTCAATCATCCAATTTAATTTGAAACTTTTCAATTTTCCTCCTAAAATCTCTCCAGGTATAAAAAAGTAGCCATCCCGTATTTCTAGTTCTTCCAAATTTGGCGCGGCTGCTATCACGTTGCGTAGAAATTTTTGCTCATCCGCGCCGCACGCAGAATTATAGTTGACTTTTGTCGCGACGATGTATCGAATCTTGACGAGTTTCGGTTGCGCCGGAATTTTCACGGGAACGCGAGACCCGTCGATTCCTACAAAGTTATTGGAAGTTTGCACCTTCCAATCGTCCACGGTTATGGACAATTCTCTCAAATTTGGGAGGTCACACGTGACAAATAAGGTGTGTAGGAGTGACCCCATATTGACCCCGCCGAGAACAGATAAGGATTGAATTGAGTGACTAAAATATTTTAAAAAGTGTTCAATATCTTGCAGTAAACTTGCTACTGCTGCTGGACCACTGGTTTCGTTGGCCGGAAGGGTGACATGGATTGATCTGGCTAATTTATGGTACAGACTGGAATATGACAACGCCGTTGAGACGAACGGTCCCTGGCGCCATGGACCGTGACCAACTCTGATGAGAGGGTTGAGATTAAGCCGGATTTCCGGTATGCGCAAGGAGAGGACAACTTCATCCCATAATTTGGCGACGAGGCGTAATTTTCTCAAGTCTTTGGAATTTCCAGGAAATCTTGATATGATTTTATCCAAGATCTGTAAATGTTATGTAGAAATTAGATTTTTTGATAGATATTTTCTTATTCGATTAAGTATGTACGTGTGTAAAAATATAATGTAAAAATTTGTGTACAATTATTTAATAATTAATAGTTACGGTTACTTGGAAATTGTACAATTTCTGTAAATTACGATTAGAAATTCCGATTTTCGTACACTATAAAAATACGAATTGTCATTGGCTCGAAAATTGTGTTGTATAAACAAATATTTGATTTTTTTAAACAACGCCGTAAAAAATGTGAAACACTTGATAAGCTTTTTATTAAAAACGTTAGTTTCGATTCTATTACCAGCGTGTTTGATAGCGCCTCCTCCATTAAGCTGATGGTCGTTTTGTCGCAGAAAATTTCTAAGTGCTAAGTACTAGAAATTATTATATTTTTTATATAAAAAAACTTTGTTTTGCATTGCATGAACGTGTAAATATTACAACTGAGCGACTTTAAAAAGATGTCTGTTTCAAGTTAATAATTTTATGAACGTTAGATTTTACTAATTTATTTTGTTAAGTTCACAATAAATCCAGCTGGAGTTTTGTTTCCCAAGTTTGATTCAAGTTGTCCGAATGAAAAGAGCCGAAGCCGACTATTACAAAATAAACATATATATAAAACCATGTGAATGAAGTGAATGAACTCTTTCCCAACAGAACAGCATGTCGAGGTGCACATGGAAATACGTATTCGTTTTGGGGTACACACGCCAAAACTCGAAACGTAAGCCTCTAAATACGTCGCGTCCTCGGCTACTTGAATTTTTTGGTTGCAATTTCATAATCGTCTAAAAAATGATATTGTAAATACATTTAAAACAATTGACAAGTGACGACTGACTGTGTACCACAATATAATAAAATATAGCTTGAAAAAGTAAAAAGTTCTAAGGTGAGGAAGTGCTATTAAAAGTATTAAACAAGCTCCCTCCGCACAATGTCCTGGGAGACTGAAAATCCGGCCAAAATTATTTTAAGGTCCAAAATCCTCCCATGGGGGTCGGAGAACATAAAAATATGGTTCATTTTGATTTTCGAAAGTGGGTGTGGTCAGGAGGGGGGTTTTTATGGGATTTTCAAAAAGTCGCAAATCGCCCCTAAAACCACACCCACTTTGTTCAGAATTTAACGCTGATTAAAATGAGGTATCATACATGCCCCTAGCTCTTACCATTGTCTCGCAAAAAAAATAAAATGTAGAGGAAGATCGGTGTTTTTGTCAAAAATCGTCAAAATGGCCAAGTTTGAAGGGCTCTCAAATCCTTGAAACTGAATTTGCGCAGGAAATCATTTCGGAATTTTGAAGTACACCCATAGGACTAACTTAGGTCACCGCCTCGGTCGGATCTGAGACGGAGGTTTTTTGCAAATTGAGCTCAAAGTTGACGAAAAAAAAAACATCGCGAAAAAGGTGGATGGGAAGGGACTTTTGAAGGGCTACTAAATCCTTAAGGATAAACATTATCACCAACTGACCTATGCATCCTAAGCTACGGTCATACTATTATGTAACAGCGTAACCTTTGCTCCATTATAAGCAATAGTGTTCCTATAAACGCGGGTCCAACTTGGCTTTCCTGAGGGCTGCAAAAATTCCTGAAATTGGCCAAGTTTAAAGGGCTCCCAAATCCTTGAAACTGAATTTGCGCAGGAAATTATTTCTGCATTTTGAAGTACTATCATAGGACTAACTTAGGTCATGACCTTGGTCAGATCTGAGACGGAGGTTTTTGGCAAATTGAGGTCAAAGTTGATGAAAATAGCGTCGAAACGACATCGTCGGGATTTTTTGTTTTTTGTGATTTTTGGGGGAAAAATTTTTTATTCTTGATTTGCACGAATCATGACCTCTAGGTCACGAAAAACAGGTTTTTGGGGCAAGTGGAGATTTGTCTCACTTTGCCCCAAAAATCTCACCTATATTACAAATATTTTTCTTGGTTAAACATTTTTTTAGGAGTCTTTGATTTTTGCTCCTAACAATGGAGACGCAAACCATGTTCAGCCCAGATTATTTTTTGACCATATTAGTTTGAAAGAGCAAGTCTTTAGAAACAACATTTGGTCCGGCACTTGCGCAGATGCGCCAAATTCAGCACGTTATGGGCGCCGCAAGTTCGCAAAAACGCACGATTTTTCGGGCAATGGCGAGCTCAACTTCGTGCGTTTTTGCGAACTAGCGGCGCCCATAACGTGCTGAATTTGGCGCATCTGCGCAAGTGCCGAACCAAACGTTGTTTGTAAAGACTTGCTCTTTCAAACTAGTAAGGTCAAAAAATTATCCGGGCTGAACATGGTTTGCGCCTCCATTGTAAGTAATAAATTTTATTGCTCAGAGCTCAAATGAAAATTTGTCCACATTAATTTCCAGCCAAAATTTTCAGTTTCCAGAATTGCATACATATGTATTTACTATGTACTATTTATCTCCACCTGCAATATTATTGTTGCTCAATTATATAATGCAAGTACAATTTTATTTTTAACTCTCCCATGGTGACGTTACACATGGAAACAAAGGCTTAAAGGATCACCGGTGGATTTGCGTAATTGTTGCACAATTCAAGCTCCACTGACACAAAATATTGAAAACTTTCCTACTGAGGGATCAGGGTGATCAATCAGTTCGAACGGAAAAATAGGATTATGTAAATACGCTATTTATTACATAAAATAAACCGTCGCAAACGCGCATACGGAAGTAGCTTCAGACTACTTCACTCCAAGCACTCCCACGACATCGCGGGAACACTTGATTTTACTGTATTTCATCTATACATTCAATTTTTTCAAAAATCTCATTTTGCCCCGACCACACCCCCTAGTGATAAGGGGGTGTGGCACAACTCGGGAGCACTTTATTCTACTGTATTTCATCTATGCATTCAATTTTTTCAAAAATCTCATTTTGCCCCGACCACACCCCCTGGCGCCCGGGGGTGTGGCACAACGGGGGAACTCAAAATTTCACTCCATTTCATCCATAGATTCAATTGCACTAAAAATCTCATTTTGCCCCGACCACACCCCCTGGCGACCGTGGGTGTGGTCCGGTTGCACCCAAAAGTTGATAGGATCCTCCCCCTGGGGTATTATGTATGATGGCGAAAACCGATTTCGATTATCTTTATCCGTTCTCCCGTTATCCTGCTGACAGACAGACGGACAGACAGACAGACAGACAGACAGACAGACAGACAGACAGACAAAGTCTTCACATAAAGTAGCTGAAGCTACTTAATAAATTTCATGATAAAGATGACATTCTAAAATTAAGTGATAAAAGCTACATACTTAATCCCACTGCTTTCGTCCACTCCACAGGTCGCGTTACCTTTAAACTGGGGATGCGATCCTACCATAAAAAGCGGTCAGTGGGCTTTTGGCAGGAGAACAAGACTCAGAAATTTTGCAATTTTTATTTAAAATGGGAATAAATGCAGGTCTCGTTATTGCGAGTTGTGTAATTATAGGACTTGCCAAAGCTTCATCCCCTGATACCCGAGAAGTTCAATACTTCATCGTCAATGCGTAGTAAGTATCTGTACATATTTAGGGATGCAAGTTTTTTTTTTACAAAATAACATTTTGCAGTTTTGCAAACTATTTTTTGCAACAGGAAAATAAAATACGCAATTTAATTTATAGCAATTTACCAAGGAAGGACCCCTTTGACGCGAGTGACCCTTTCTTGCTTATTAAGAATGGCTCAGGTCACACCGTTTATCGGACAGATTGGCAACTCAACAGGGTAAACGCCACCTTCGACCCTGTCTACTTTAACGTGCTGCCCAACGAGGTTAGTAATCATTTTTTAATAGAAGGAACGCTTATAAAATACGTAACGAAAATTTCGTAATTTTTTTACCCCTCCGTTCCCACTCGTTACATCTACTTTTTTTAACATGTGGCGCAAGTTGGTCGGTAACGCTTCAGCCTGACCCATTCCTCCCCCGTACTTTATGCACGTTCCCGAATTGTATTTCGCGGTCGCATTTTTTTAATTATTAAAAAAACATTATTAAATATGTAGGTGTATCATATCGATGTCCGAGATTACGATGCACTCACTGCGGACGAGACTTGCGGTAGTGTACACGTACGGGGAAACAACTTGGTGGGAGGTAATCACCCATTAAGAAATCCGATGGGTGGGTGGGTCGTTTTTCGGTGGATAATAGTTCCCACCCAGCCTCCCACGACTACAACGGTGGGGACAACTACTACTCGAACCACGACGACGGAGCAAACCACAACTACTACGACGACACCAAGAACGAGCACGACAAGGGAGCCGGACTGCGTTCGATGTACCGCGCCAAGGTTTGAACTTGCCGTTGGGTTTCTGGCACTTGCGGGAATTTTGAATGCTAAGTTTTCCTTGTGATGAGCAACATAGTTTCATGAAGTCAAGCTAAATTTAAACTGCCATTCAATGCGTAGAGTTAAGTGAGGATTTATTTAATCTATTTATTTAATCTATTTATGGGTATATTAGAGAAAATACATTTGATATTTCAATACCAATTTTTTAAAATACGCATAAATATTAGTTTGGCAAAAAGCTCAAAAGGTTTCGATGCACATAGATACATAACGCATTCGGGGCATAAAGTATATGCAATTTGTACATTATATGCAAATGCATTAAGATAACCACATTACTGACATAATAAGTGCCAATAAATTCGCAAATATGTACATACATATGTCAAATGTATGTAGTAAGTTGCGACGTAATCTAATTTATGACTCCTGTGTAATCAATTTTTTTTTCAAATACTAATCGTACGTACATAATTGATCCATAATCATACGATGCTATATGCTAATTTTATTTAATACAAACCTAATTTCATTTTATTCAACACATTCCAAGTCATGTCATAAATATGCGATTTACAAGAAAATAAATTATTTCATAAAATTCATGCAATCCGTATGATACGTCAAAAATATATCAATTTATTTCTCTCTGTTTAGCCACCTGCCAATTTTACAACTTTATTATCACCACAAACATAATTCCGGACCTTTCAGTTATCTAATTACGACAACAAATGATGTTATCCGGTTGGGTTGGGCAGGCCCACTGGCCATCGACCTTATCCGTCTGACGATCCGCCGGACACGATCCACTATTTCGGTCGTAACAATAGCCAACTCGACTGCACGCTAAAAATCAAAATGGAAAATTTTTTGCAAAATAAATTCGCCAATTCTAAATAAAATTTCAATACACTTTTTGCCTACGGGCTTCATTTTTCACACAACAAACTACATATATTGCTAGCTTGTGATGGACATGCATCTTGACCATTAACTTTCTCTTTAGAGGAGCCACTACATTGTTGAGTGTGTCACGATTGTAGCACGAACCGACGTCCGAGCACGTTAATTTTTAGTTCATGAAAATAAATGCAATTTTGCAAAATGATGCAAATTCTTACGTTGCTCATTTTTAACTCCTCCCCCACTAGACGTGTCGCAACAAATGATATTAGCCGACTGGGTGGGACAGCCCCATTGTCCATTAACTTTCTCCTTCGGTGTTCCCGAACAGGTTTCCGTATTCTTATTGAAACAATGGCCGACAGAGGAGCAGGCTGAAAATTTTTAAATAGGCATTTTGTGACAGAAGTGTTTTTTTCTTAAGTTTCTCATAATGCAATCACTTTTACCCTTTCAGGAATTTTCAAATAAAAAAAATTTTCAAAAATATGTAGTAATTGTGAGATCACACATTTGCCGGAAATTGAGAGTTTCAGTGTAAGGAACTTTTAAATTTTTGGCAGGATGTCGAAAAAAATAAACAATTCATGCAGTCCTTACAAACATTATAAAACCCGCAAGTTACACAATTTTACAAATATTTTCGAGGAAATTTATTTATCTAGTTTGCAAAATTTATGTAACTGATTTTCTTAACTCTTGCAAGTCCCTCAAATTTCCAAAGCTTTACGTACATTAAATATTCTCAAGTTAATTAATACACCACTAATAAAATAGTGACTCTTACTTACGTTGCTCATTTTTCGTGCCACCCCCACCTCCACCTCCACCAGCTTTGCACCCAATCTGATTCATCAGCCCTCTCGCGTTCCCCTCATTTTGGTCATACCTGTCCGGATAGGCTGACCGTTGCACGCATTGGGCCAGTTGACCTGCCGTCGGCCCGCAAATATCGCGAGTTTGGCAAACCTCAAAAAATTTATTGGATGCATATTCCACATTCATGCACTGTTCCCTGGTCCCCCAACCTTGGGAAGGACGCTGTTGGAAAACTCCGACGGAATCACGGTCTCCATAATTCAAATTTCGACACCCCGACTCCACAATGGCCGTCTCAAATGCGGCCAGCATTACCCGAGCGGTTACGCCGCGCCTATTTCCCACGGCGCAGATGGTCCTCGCCACGTTCAAGTCGTAGGCGGCGTGCGCCACGGAGAAGGTCAGGAGAACGAAGGGGAAAATTGAATTGCGAATCATTTTGTTGCAAAAATTGAACCATTACACGGAATTTTTACTCTTTTATATGGTTTTCATTTCAAGGTCGTAATGATTACATGCATGTTTCGATTAGGTCCGGATCCGCTTTAATTTGTGGTTTGGTTAGGGTGAAACTATATGTGTGCATCTTGACGGGTGAAATGGCAACATAATTCTCATAAATCGTTTGCATGTATTTCTAGATACAAGTATGTACGTGCCATAGGATAATAAAATAACTTATTGTCAAAGGATATGTATGCAAATGTTGTGTTGGTTTTTGTGTACCCAGCTACCTAGGTCAATATGGGTAATTTATTGATATCTGGAACTTCTGTGCAAAATATTTGCCAGATTGTATTAGTGATATTATTAATAGATTAATGAATGTGGATATACATATCTTGTACAAATGGAATTTTTATATACATGAATTTGCATCCGTAAATATTTAGATATATGTACATAGAATCTATGTGTCTATGTCATAGATACATGTGTGCCGTTACTGAAGTTGAATTTCTTTAGTTTCATAACATGTAATGGATGAAAGTTTTACAATATGCATATCGCCATGGTTACCAATTATAAAAGAAAGTTCACAATAAACTAATGTCAAGTTCACTACGGGGATAAAATTCAGAGAACCTGTTTTTTTTGAATTTTTGAATGCCTTATGCATTAAGTTATAAATACACTTAAAAAGTCTTAAGAAGGTTTTAGGAAGGAAATCCCTGCCATTTTGACGTCAACTCGGTCTCATTCCGACCCGATTTTACCACTGGATATCTACCAATGTACATACATACAGTTTCGTAGCAGCCACTAATGCAATTTAAATAAATATATATATATCTATATGGATGTACATTGTCCATAGTTAGCTTTAATAAAGTTGATGCAATTCATATAATTATCTTTCCAATTTATCTACGACCAGCTGGAAATACACCCTCAGTTTTTTCTCAGAGCCTAATTTATATATATCTGTATAGCGTACATACATATGTATATATTTATATCGTCCACGTTGAGGTGTATTTTACAATTACTTGCGCAAATTCCCCACGTTCTAATCTCTCATAATCAATCCAAACTTTGTATTTAATGAGCCAATAATTGAAACATAGAATACAATGTAGCAATTGAATTTCGATTGCAACTATTCACACGAACGCGCTACTAGAAAAGTTTCGTTTACGAAACTTTTGCAGATATTTCTGCAAAACAATAGATACATATGCTTGTGTATGTATGTACATAGGTATGTACATAGGTATGTATTTCTACATATGAATTGTGATATTTCCCTCATAAATAACCAATACGTATCTCTGATCTGTCTATAAATATGCGGAGTTATTTTATTACTAACATAATTAATCATATGTATTATGCTCTGGTTTGTTTAAGAAAGATGAGAAACTTTTACGTATACATTAACATGTTGTATTTGCATAGCGTGTGGGAAGAGAAATACAATTTACCTACAAGATTTCTTCTTATGTGACTTCCAGGTAGGATGTAAAAATACACTTCATACCTAGGTACACAGCAGGTTTAAATATGTACGCATAAGTATATGTACATGTAACTATGTAATTGGGTTTACATGCACAACTTATCGACTTACATTAATCGGATGACAAGCTTGATAAAATTTTTTCATGTCAGGCATTACCTGGGAAGTACTTGTTGATGCATGTGTTTACTCTATATTGTAAATACAATGTATGCATATGTATATGTACATGTAGTAAATATAATATGTACATATTTGCATGCATACATTTACTGCTTCCTGAAAAATGATCATTGTTGCCTTATAATGAGATGTACATATAATGAGATGCATCTACTTCTGCATATGAATTGAGCTTCACTACACAACTGATCATTCCCCCCTGTACCAAAGTACGAAGATCCAATTATTTGTGTGCTACAGCTTTGCATACGCAAATAAAATAAAAATTACGAAATGGCAGTAACAATAAGTAGCGGTTTCAAACATTTCGCCAAAGGTGAGATCGTTCTTAACGGTATCGATCTGAATGTTGGCATTGGGAAAATGTAAGTATTTACATAAACCAACTAAAAAATTAATGGGATCCTTAAGAAATACAATTTATTGTCAAATTATGACTATATACAGTTATGGATTGTTGGGTGCCAGTGGATGTGGGCAAGTGTCACCTATTTTCTTTACGCATTGTTAGGTTTAAGATTTAATCATAATTTTGGAACTTTCTATAATCTTCCCATTAGAAAAACGACCCTACTCAAATGCATTGTTGGCTTGCATAAGCTCGATTTTGGCAGCGTTACCGTATTTCAACAAATGAATCCTGGTAATCTTGGTCGCCTTTGTGGGTACATGCCTCAGGCAAGTTAAAAATTTTTGTTCATAGAGTGTGAATTTTTGTTCATAATCATCGTTTAAAGTCTGTCTAATTCCAGGACGCAGCTCTTTTGGGTACATTAACGATTGCAGAAACGCTGAAATATTTTGGAATAATCTACACCATGAGGACACACGATATCAAGGAAAGGATCGAATTTCTAAGCAATTTTCTGGATTTGCCTCAAATAAATAAAGTAGTTCAAGATCTTAGGTGCGAAAATTATCTGCTGAATACACAATAATTAGTTTGTTCTGCACGAATCCGAGTCCGAAAATTCGTCGATACTCGAAACCGAATCTGAATCGGGCATTTTAGGATTCGCCTCCTAATTCCGGATTCAGGAGGAGCACTAGTAATAAATAATATATGTGAATGATTTAATAATTTTTGTCATTTTACCATAAGTGGGGGGCAAAAAAGGAGGGTGTCCTTGGCGGCGGCGATGATACACAATCCCAAACTGCTCGTGTTAGATGAGCCCTGCGTTGGATTGGATCCGGTTTTAAGACAGAGGTAACTGTTCGAACTCATGAATCACACAAGTTTCATACATAAACAAATAATAAATAAAAATTCTCACAGGATTTGGAAATACCTGCATGAAATTTGTCGTGATCAGGGGACAAGCATAATAATTTCCACGCATTACATCGAAGAGACAAAATTTTGCGAGAAGGTTGGCGAATTTGCAGACATAAGAAGTAAAGTCCATTTTACATATGAATTCTTCTAATTACAGGTGGGTTTTATGCGGGGTGGTCGTCTTCTTGCCGAGGACTCGCCAAAGTCCCTGCTCTCGACGCACGAAGCCGCAACAATGGAGAAACTGGTTTTCAAGTTGTGCCAACATGATCAAAAAGAATCGAATTACCCCAAATTTAAATGTCTTAATCAATACGGCCTTCAGGAAATCGTCGTTTTACCACCCAAATCCCCTGCACCTCGAAAATCTCTCAATACAAATGTGTACAATGGATCAAAAATTTACGCCCTCATGTTTAAATGGTTCCACCGACACCGTAGAGATTTAAGGTCCAATTACAATTAAATGTTATTTTTAATGTGTTTAAGTTTCCTCACATGTCAATTTATTTTTGTGATGAACAGGTTTCACATGTTCCAGCTTCTTCTTCCAGTCATGTGCATGTTCACCTTGCAAAATGTGCTTGGTCCGGTACCAAACCGTGTAAAGCTGAGTTTTGTGCATAATTCTAATCTGAGTTACACTGACGTCCTGAAAACGTACTGCAGGTCAAATTTTCCTAACAGTTTGTCCCAAGAATGTTTCGCGAATGTGGGAATTTGCAATTTCATTGACACATTTGTAAAGAATGAATTCATTTGGGTAATATTTTAGGAGAAAATGCATTAAATATTTCCTGGCAAGTAATACTCTTAATTATTGTGAAGGTTCCTGCCAATTCGTACGAGGAAGGACTTGACCAAATCAAACAGGGCAAAACCGCAGGACTCATCGAGTTTCCGCAAAATTATGCCATGCATTTAAAAAATCGAATGGCCTTTCGAAATTTTGCGGATAATGAGACAATTCTTGGCTCTACGATATCAGTTCGATTAGACGAAGCCGGTATATACATATATAAAATATAATGCATATTTTGTATTAATGTGAATTTATCAGTAACACATACTTCATAATTTCATTCTAATTTTAAATTTTAGACCGGATGTTGGCCTTTTGGATGAGAAGGACTATTTTTGACCGGTATCTGGTTTACATGGGAAATATCCTAGCATCCTGTTCCCTTCCTAGTGACATTACCAGACCACCGATTCATGTGTGTACAGAAATTCACTAATTCCATCACAATACTTTAATAATCCAGATGTATTTCAGTTCAATGCCATCTACGGGTCCAACGAAACGTTTGAGTATATCGCCTTCATACGACCTGCATATGCAATTGTGTACGTTGCTTTATGCAATTTTAAGTAATTTATTGGCTGACTAAATTTTTCTAAACATGTAAATATGTATGTCGTCCAGGGTAATGTTTACGGTGGTGCTGGCAATCCCAGTTATAATGGCGGAGGATAAAATGGCAGGACTCGTGGATAGAGACCACGTCTCCGGTGTATACTTATGGCATCAACTAACTGCTACTTTTGCCACCCAAAGTTTAATTATCTTAGTCCAGATTGGAATAGTTTTGGAAATATTGCATGGCTTTTACGGAATGGTCATTAATGGGTCGTGGGTCACAGTCGTGGCGTTGATGTACGCAACAGCTTTTACGGGAATGTCAATTGGTAAGAATAATCTGAAATTATTGTTGCGTGTGATTGTGTGTCATTTGCATAAATTTCACTACGAGATTTTTAGGCTATACGGGCTCTATGAAATCTATGTCACTCGATAAGCCGCCGAAATATGCAAATGAGGTGATATTGACGGAATAATTCTACCGTACGTTCATACACTCTGTATGATGTATGTACATATTGATAAATAAGTAAGTATATACTAAAAAAAACTTGAGTTAGATTGTCACCCACATTTGCATATTTTGACGTGGAGTTCATCTAACATTGAAGACTAGTATCGTCTAAAATGGACGATAATGAAGTTTATGCAAATAAGATGAGATGCTATATTTAATAAGAGTGTCGAAGCTCTTTTGTTATTTTTTAATGGTAAACTAATTTACAATTTACTTTGTTTTTTAGCTTTTCTTGTGGGTGCACTTTGTGACGGGCTTATGGCAAACATCTTAATCATTCTTAGCATAATAACGTCCATGATATTTACAACGGGTACAAATGTAGATAAGTATTTGCCTTTATTCAAGCAAGATCACTTACGGAATGTGTATATTAATGCTTTTGAGTGTTGCAGGAATTTACTTCCCTTTGACAATGATGACGTGGTGGTTTCGTCAAGTGGCCAACTTCATCCCGATGACACTTCTGGTCGACGCGATGCGTTCAATTTGTTCGAGAGGATCAGGAATAACAACCACAACCGTAGTGCTAGGCTTTTTATCAGCGGGTGGTTGGATTTCGGTTTCACTGATCATTACAATTTGGGCAGGAAGGTGGAGACAAAAATAAAATAGGAGCCTATATTTTTGATAATTGTACATAGGTATTTAGAAATGATTCCAGGGAAATTCATAGCAGACGATTCATAGCCATATAGCTCGTAGCATACAATTCATAGCACGTACATACCATAGTCGTTATAACTGATAGTAGTATCCATACATAGTGCATCTTTTCGTAGCACGTACAATACATATTCATATCGCTGCGTAGCAATACATAGCGAGAAACTAAGTTCAAAATTTTTTCAGCTGACCAAAAAAAATTATTCATAGCCTGAGTCAGTAGCTGTGAACTCGCTTTGTCTAACACCAAGATCACCTTCGTTAAACTCATCTTATCGACTTGAAATTTTGCATTCAGCCAAAAAATGAGTTAAAAGTAAGCTCAAGTTCGAAAGAAGGCTGAATAAAAAAATATTTAGAATGATAGGGTTTAAGGGTCAAGGCTTTGATGTCGCATATTCGAAACATAGCTCACAATAAATTGATCCCTCACTGCATGGTCCATCTTTGGACTATCTTTTCAGTAGCCCTAAGATATAAAGTCTTACAATGAAGTCAATTCTGTAACTGGTTGAACTCTATTGGGTGATTCATACCGATTTTTCAATTAATCCAATCGAACTGCTTTATATTTTGTACACGGTTTGCAATAGTCTCATAATTGCATAACATCTAGAATAGAATTTATTGAAAAATTTCGACATCGACATTGGTTGTACATAATTTGTATGTAAGATTTGGGATTCAAAACTTACAAAATATTATTATATTGAAGATAGGGATTTGTAATTTTGGCCGACAAAAACACTATGAATTGTATTACTATGAATCGTATTAAGCTATCAGAATAATAGCTACGAAAAAAATGTGCTACGAATTGTAGCATGCTATGAATTGTATTTTTGCTATGAATTGTACCTGCTACGAATTTCATGCTATGAACCGTCTGGCACCCTTTAGAAATAGCTTACACATACATGAAATAAAGGTATTTGTCGAACCAATTGACAATGGGAGTATTCATTACAAGTTCGCATGACCGCATCGCAACATCACTTTTTAAAATATTTTGCGACCTAAATATCTACTAGCCCTGGAAATGGGCAAGTTCGCAAATTAATTTCCAGGTTAAAATGTTTTGCGAACTTTGCTAACGATACGAATTCGAAATGAATACCCATGATCGGTATGTGTAATTACATATGTATAAACGATTAAACACAATTTTGAAACTGATCAAGTGATTAGTTGATGATCCATCATTGTGACATTTTAAATCTTTAGATATGTACATAAATATTCATCTCGTGAGAAATTTGCTCCCAGCAGAAATGATTTTGCCAACAGTTTTATGGGACAAGATACTCACACCCTGTACCTCATTGATGTATTTATTTGATTCAGATTCGAGTTACGGTAATCTCATATCTGTGGATCCTCAAATATTTGTTTAATCCGACTGACATGCATTTGGGAAGGATTTAATTGATTTATTGCTTTATGCACCTCTATTTTTTGTGGTGGACCTCAATTTTTGTATTGTGAGACCTATTTTAATATTAGGAATTTAGAATTGTAATACTTGATAATTGATTGGAACATTCCATAACAATCAGTATGAAATCATCAATGCAACCGCTGACATTTATTCATAATCCTTTTTTATTTCAGAATTGCAATACAAATTTCGGGAGATTTTATTTGAGGGTGGTATTATATGCGTACATATTTATACATTTACCGGTTTATCACAATTATTTCTCTGTGAATATTTCACCCAATCTTGTTCAAATATATTTGCGTAAGTACAACTATGCTGATGGATATTCTATATAAGTATACTATCTAACCGGCTATATTTTACACACACATTTTTATTACAAAGAACTATCACCTGGTAAAAAATATGTTCTAAATGTAGGGGACAAACGTTCTTTCCATAATATAATGATGTATTAAAATGGATGATTACATATGTAAGGTCACTGCGGGTTAGTGTGGCCACTTTTGAGCAAAATAAAATGGTTCTATAAAATACCAATAGTTGTACGTTAACAACAATTATTTTAAAAAAACTGTGTGATGAATTACTTATTTAACATTATTTTATAACAAAAAATTTAATTGGATATGATACATATTAATTTTTTAAAATATTAAAGCAGGTGGCCACACTAGCCCTTAAATAATTTTCCCCCTTTTCAGTTTAATTATTTTATTGTATTAATTTGAGATAAATTTAATTTTTTTTCTATTTAAGGGCCTATCATAAAGTATGTAACGCAAAAATCGCAGTGGTCCGTACCCCCTCCCTTTAACATGTTACATAGGTAAGATATTATTGGAGCCTTGGACTCCCCTCGCCCCTCTTGTCACATAATTTATGCACGGCCCTTTATGCAAATTTATGATCATAATTTATGATATTATAGTATAGTTCTGTGTTTATGATTTAGTTATGATTCATATGCAGTTATGATTCAGTTAATTTTTGAGTTGTAGTGTGATATAAAATTATTTGGTTTGTGAAAATATGGTGTTTTTACGTAAAAAATCCACTGACCACAATTATCTCACTAACCCTGCCTGACCGCTATATCATTCCTTCCTAGAGCTCTTCCGAAATACCATTATAGTATTTTTAAACCATCCATTACGAGCCGCATCTCTAAAAACTTTCTCCATCTCCAAATCAGACTCAAACCCTCTTGGTTCAATTTTATCCCGTATATAGCTATTATTGTGATTGTTAACATGCGATGTTCCGCCTTGTCCTTCAATCGCCCAGCTAAGAATTAATCCATTCTTCGCCCCACTGACGTTTGTTATAAAAATATCCTCAAATTCTTTTGGAATATGTTCCCCAACTTCGAGTGAAAGTGTCCATTCGAATTGACAAAATCCAGTGGTTTACTCAAATCCACGACGCCACAACGACCCTCGGACAAATCTTGAGTTTGTGGATTTCCATCGTAACAGGCTACCAAAATTCCGGCAGCTTTCATTTGTTTGGCGTATGCACCCGTCCCACAACCGAGTTCCAGGAGAGTTTTCACCTTTTTGGAAATCAGAGTTTTATTTTTTGAATGTTACATATCATAAAAAGTTGTTGATATATTTATTACGAGTTTGAAATGTTTGCGAAAAACTAAGTTCGAAAAAAAAATTTGACTTGAAAATTCATTTGCGAACTTATGCATCTCCAAAAATATGTATAAGACAGATCCACTAAGTTATCGGACCGCCCCATTAAACGCGCGCTGAGCGGGAGCAGATTGAAATTAAATTTCGAAAAAAATATTTTTGAATAGACCAAGTTATAAGCTTTCCATTGATATATATCACTAATTATTGAGTCATGGCTAAGACTAGAAAATCTTTGGGTTGAAAGGCAAGAGTTGAAAAAAAGAGTGATTGTGTTTCGCAAAAATCGAACAAACTATGATTCTAAAATCACTTGGCACTTTTTCAAGCAAGAAGGTATTCCTCATTCAAATGTCAACTCTTACATAGAAAAGTACGAGGAATCCAATGAACTCAAATTCAAAGTCCCCACTAGTCGACCTGCAAAGCCAGCGGCGACAAAAGTCAAAAATCGGATGAAAAAAATCTTCATGCATCAACGACAACGGCTGGCGCGGAAAGGAAGGTCAACATTTAAAAAAGCTATCTAAGCAAAATCAAAGTCCATAAACTAGGGATTACAGCAAGTGCAAAAAAACCAGCATCAAATTACAAACCAACACAAAAGGAAAGGATTCATGCGTGCTGCAAGAAATTGTGAGAGAAAATTTGGGGAAAAGTGGTCATCACGGACGATGAGCCCCACGTCACAGCTAATCCTTCAAATCTTCCAGGAAGGCATTTTTTCCATAGTTCCAACCCCTGTGAAATAAAATATGAAGACAAAGTCCGAAAGAAAGACCAATTCCCAAAAAAATGAAGAATTTGGTAACGCATGTGTAGCATTGGTCATGTTTCTGATCCCGTCATTTTGGAGGGCACTGTAAACCAGGAGGTTTATCTTAAATCTTGAATTAAAAGGGGATTAGAATCGTTTATTACCAAACATCATAAAAAAATCAAGTTTGGTTTTGGCATGACCTCCCAAGGTCTCATGACGCCAAAAAGGTCACTCAGAACCAAAATCTGAAAAAAATCGAATTTGTGCCGAAAAATTAAAACCCACCAAATTTTCCTCAACGGCGACCAATTGAGAAATTCTGGGCGCTAACTAACTCCAAATATTCTAAGCTTTCAGAAACGCCAGATACCTTACGAAAATTTAAGAACAGATGGAAGAAAATGAGCTTGAAAGTAGGTGCAGTCGATGGTCGGAATTTGATGCGAAATCTGATAAAGGAAGTGCAATCTGTAGCACATAGCGGAATTGAATCATTAAAATTTGAACTGTATGGCAATCCAGACCCTTTGGTAGTAAACATATGCAATTTTTTTGAGATTACATCAGCTGTGTGTAAAGTTCTGAGCATTTGGTCCGATAACTTAGTGGATCTGTCTTATTTAATTCGAATTTTTTTTTCAAAATTATATTCTTGTACGAAATCGTAGTGAATACCCTCATTATTTTTTTACTCACATTTTCCGCTTTCAAAAATGTTATCAATGCCGTCGCTAATGGTTCATCAAATACATGTCTCGATTTGGCGTACATTCCTTCCCAAAATCCTGTATCTGCTACACCAAAATCTATTTTATTTCCTTCTGTTTGAGTTGGTTGAGTTGGCTGGGATAGTGATGCTACTTTATTTTTCAGGGATTCAAATGATGATAGTGTTTTCGTCTCAAAACTCCGTAATAGTTCGACAGTATCTTCTCCGCTTTGCTTGATAAGGTTGTCATGCTTTTCGTGAATCTGTGTCATCCAGTGAAAGTACAAAACCGTCACCTGCAATCATAAATATAAAATCATACAAAGATGAAAGAAGTAAGTAAGTACCAAGGATAAGGTACACTTTTTCATGGCATAATCTGTGTATCTCGAAAGTTAAAAATTGTACCACAATCGCCACAGTAATCTTGAAGATGGGATGATTCTGTAGATTTAAACACATGCTTTTTGGGCGATGTGTGATGAGTTCGTTATTGGGAATGTTTGGCATTTATTTGTATGTACATATAAAGTACAAACTACAAATATTTAAGTGGTAAAATACATAGGTAAAACAATGCTTCTTCCTGTATTCAGGGATCATGTAGTAACAGTCCTGTTCGTCCGAGATGGGTATTCCCATTAGCCACAAATTTTGCACACACGTGTTTTTGCCAACATTTTTAGGTATGTATGAGCCACACCCTGATTCAGTACCGTATACGTTGCAACGAAATGTAAAATAGTTTTTACTTTGAAAATAATATGCACATGAGCTACAAATTTTAGAAAATAGGTAGAAGCAACTACATAAAATATGGAAAGTTGAGCTTTGTAGGTAAGCCAAAAAATATGTATTCCTTATTAAATAAATATGAAGCACCACAAAATCTGCTATTTGCATAATCAAAATACATACATAATCACGCATGCAATAAATAAATAGGTACTTAAATAAATTAACAAATATAAACCTTAGGTATACATAAATCAAAGCTGTACAAACATTTCAGGGAAGCGATAGACGTTTTTTGTTGGTAGAAAAACTAAATATGATTCGCTCAGAAGTGTCCATACTAACCTGCTGTAACCCTAAAAGTTATGCACCTACAGGCATAAAAGCTGTGAAAACATTTCATGGAAGTATGTACATACACGTATGATAAGCTTCACCTAAGCCAAATTATATAGTGCATACATATGGGTATGGTTTTAAAAGCATCAATTATACCGGGGTGTAAATAATTCTGCAATATTTGAGAATGGATATATGCAAATTTCATACAGACTGAAAATTTAGAACTAATCATTCCGCACAAACAATGTCTCAATTCCTTTTATCTGATCGTTTTCAGGCAAGTTTTATACTATTAACCGTAACCGTAATTGTCATGATTGCATTATTTTCTTCAAATGAGTATAATACTGCGTGGAAGATGATATATTTTCCACCACCAAACATTGAATATCTTGTCGAATCGATTTCCTTCATGACGAGATTTCAGCAAAAAGTTGGATTCCAACCCGTTGGTGATGGATTGTTCCTCTACTCAGCTTTCTACTTTAACGACAAAAGGTACATACGTAATTAAGGTTAATCAGATACAATTTAGTCACCCATTTCACTATGAAAAAATACATACTTAACAATCTGAATAAAGCAAGAATGGTCAACCAGCAAAAATCCGGATTGTTGCATTGGACGCAAGAGCAGAGGCTCGTGACTTGTATTGTGTTTTTCTCTGTAGTGGAGGAGATAGCTATGGTGAAACTAATATGCAAATAATTACGGGGAAAGGGTACAGAGTAATTTGTGAAGATCCGTACGGCCGAGGACTTAAATATGGGTACGATGAGCACCAATGTATTTATGCCTAAAGTTCGAAATTTCGAAAAAAGTGATGCAAAGTTTTTGATATATTGTTCCAGCCAAGTTTACATCGACTGTGAACTACCCCAAAATGCAATAGTAGACCCACCCAAATTTGTATCTGTATATCATACAAATTATAACTTGGAAATTTTTGGAAACATTTTGAAAATTAACTACCCCCCACCGAGGCAGGAAAACCCGATTTATAAAGTTGCATCATGCACGCAACCATTCTACACATTGGGAGAAAACATGGGAAAACCAGTTGAACTCGTGGAATGGATGGAGTACCAATTAATGATGGGGGTGGAGCATTTCCTATTTTACAATATTTCTATGAGTTCCGCTTTCGCCACAGTTTTACAAAGTTATGGAGATGGTAAGTAAATATTTTTAATGAGCGTACTCACGACAACGTCTTATTTCGCAACGACGAAACTCATTTAGCAAACTTGCAAAAATCAAAAAATAAAAAAAAATGTGTCGTGGTGGAATTCGCATAATTTGATTTTCCACATTTCGGAAATCTATACATACATATGCACAGTTCTGTTATCCTATTTCAATTTAGCTTCCGTGGATTATTTTAAATTTCTAAAGCATTTACATAAGAAGATGAGTTTGCGAAATAATCTTCTGAAATAATAGCTGGGGAAAATATCGTATGGTTTTGCAGAAAAAGTTTTTCAACATCTCAAAAATTTTGCACAGCTTCGCAATTTATGTTGCTATACGTATGTACATATGTACATATGTATGCCCAGTCAGCCCGGTTGTCGAGATTGTATATATGCGAGATGTGAGAAAGTTGAGAACGCTTAATACAAAATAATTGTGCTAATTATTAACAAATTTTTATTAATTGATTTACCCCACAGTTATCACCCTGCTCCCATTTAACCTCCCCATTAAGGAGAAGGACATCGTGAGTCGCGGACAATTTATTCAAGCAAACGATTGCGTTTATCGTTACAGAGATGTGGCACGATACGTGACTACGCTCGACATTGATGAGTTTCTCATCCCATCCGATAAATTTTCAAATTACGGTGACATGATTGATTTTATTCTGAAGAGTGAAGATGTCAAAAAATTGGGAGGCGTGATCAATCAATTAAACTGGCAGTCGTATTTTTCCTTTGCAAATTGGCCGACGAGGGACATGAGTAATTTATCGACGGAGGTTTTTGACGCTAATCTACTTCGATTAACCACTCGAATCAAATTCTTGGAGGGAAACCAGTAAGTTTTTGGATACAAACTTTTTTAAAGTCTTCACAATATGAAGAAAATAATTAACTCGAAAAATGAAATAATATTGATTGTTTTTTATGAATTTTAGATCCAAATTTGTCGAACTTCCTGACAACGTCTTGGAGTCATCGGTCCATTTCGTTACAGTCGGAGTAAATGGATCAGAGCGATACACTCCACCGTATGATATTGGACATTATCTCCATCTTAAAGAATGTATTTGGTATTTTGAAAAACCAAATGAAATTTTAAAAGATAATGCAACCTGTCTTGGGTCAGTTTATGAAGAAAATTTAAACCGAAGTATTAGATTTGGAGATATGTTAACAAAACGTGTTAGTGAAAGGGTCAAAATTTTAATTAAAATGGATCCAAAGTTAGCTAATTATTTCAAAATTATACGTACTAATAATAGTGAGACAACGAAACGACCTAAAAAAATAGGCAACTGAGGATGAATTAGAAAATTTGGTTTATTATTAATCAGCTTCAGAATACCGTAAGCAAAATCTTTGTCTTTCCATCTGTATGCAGAATGACCCTAGAAATGATCAAAATTTATTAAATCTGTTTTCGAATATCGACGTTTAATTTTCCATGTGAATTGACCAAGAACAGCCTGACCACACTCTCTAGCGTTGAGTATAGGTGGTCCGATTGACCCCATCTTCAAACTCACCCACCCTGCCTCAAAACTAGATGTTGATACCAGTAAATAGATTTCTAAATTATTGATTCGTCAAGTTATCCAGCTGACAGACGGAAGGACGGACGGACGGATAAAGTCTTCGCATAAAGTAGCTGAAGCTAAATACTTACAACTTATTTAATAATGAGTGATCTTTTTGCAAGAAATTTAATCATAAAGGGTATTTTGTTTGTTAACCCTTATTCAAATGTCAATAAATATACGACTGATCTAATTACAAATTGGTTTAGAATCCCTGACACTGTCTAAAATTTTTTCGCCATTTTGATACATACCTACATATTTATGTAAAGATGATCAAATTTAATAAACTATTCATATTTTTATGTGATACATAGTTACAAACATGAAAATGTATTACAAATGTTGTTGCAATAAATAAAAAAACGTCAGTTAAATTATCATACATTAGTTTAGCCGTGTAATTAATAACTCATAAATAAATATTTACATATGTACATACATATGTGCAAACATCTTCACACCGAAATTAATAGAGACACCGAGTAGTACAACAGACGTGACAAAAACTCGACCCTTGCACCTTTTCGAACGCAGAAACATCCTCCCACCCAAATCCTTAATTCACCACAACATTTTAACTGCCTTAGTCTCACGCTAGACTTAATTTGCATAGTTCTGTATCTCAAAAATTCTTTAGATTCGGTATTAACATTTGCCAGGAGGGGTAGGATCCAATGCCCCATCCCGATAATACTGGCCGCAATAACGACACAAATTAACGTCAGAGGTGGAGTCTCCGTTGTAAATTTAATAGCTAAATATATCATTTCGATAGCAATTATGACTGAAAATAGCATAATCATCGGTAAACAATGGAAATAAAATTGATTTTGAAATTTTACGATAATTTGTATTTCATTATACTTTCGTACATACTCGTCCACAAAAATATTTCTCCATGAGAAGCACTGGAACTTGGTTGCATTTCTGGGGGGTGTCATTCCTCTGACTATCATTTCTAAGAGGAGGCAAATATTGGAGAGGAGAATTAAGGTCCCAAAATTCATTAAACTCGTGTGCATGCAGAGCAGAGAAAAAATAATGGAACGAATTAGAGTTTTAAAAAGTGGGGAAAAATATTCGAAATTTCTGAACCAAAAATACGTAGGGTCAATTTTATCGAGTAGAACGGGAACAATTAGTGGAGCCAAGGAGGACGTGATGATAGAAATTAATAGTCCGTGCAGGTACAGTCCGAAAACGCTGAAGCCTTCTGATTTGGTTCCTTCAAAAGAAATGTAAGAATTTTAGAATTCTTAACCATTTAATCTGTGAAAGTGGCATATGTCGCTTTGGCGACTTGTCCATAATTCGTGACAAAGGCATATGTCATCGTCAAAATCCGCTCCATAACCCGTGACGACGACATATGTTGCCACAGAAAACCTTACCTTAATTCGTGACGTAGACGTTTGTCGTTCCCTGGCAAATTCGCCATAATTCGTGACGTCGACATTTGTTTTTAGCCCGAACCAGGGCTTATGTAATTGTCATGTCCGTCCGTCCGTCCGTCCCTCCTTCTGTCCGTCTGTCTTTCGACAACTCTGGAACGAGTTGGCCGATTGACTTGAAATTTTTACCAGATGCATATTGGACAAAGTTAGGAACCGAGTTCGAAGATGGGCAAAATCGGTCCACTGGTTGACCCGTAGGGGTCATCTGGGTGGTTGGGAATTATGCACCAAAATTTCGAAATTGTCGTAGAAAGCTCAAATTTGGTGCAGAGGAGTAAATGGGTCCTAAAGGAAGGATATGAACTCAAATTCGAAAAATTTATCTTGAGGGACCCTATGGGGTGACCCCTACCGATTTTTCAAAGTCGTCATATCTAACTTAAATTTGGTGGATAGGTTGCTTATGGGGCCTAAAGGAAGAATATGAAATGAAATTGGTAGAATTTTCATCTGGAAGGGTGGGTGACCCACTAACCCATACTGATTTTTCAAAATCGTCATATCGTTCTGAAATTTGGCATTTAGTTTTCTTATCGCTCTTCATGGAAGAATATACATTGGAATCTGGAAAATTTTCATCTGGAAGGACCCTATGGGGTGACCCCCACCAATTTTCAGGGATTAACATGGAAAGCTGAAATTAGGACCAGAGATCTTTACTGCCTTCTCATGAAATAATAGGAAGTTAAATATGAACACAAATTTGCAGAGGGACACTAGGGGGTGGTCCACACCGATTTCTTAAAATTGATATAATCAGCTGAAATAATTTAGTATGGAGTCGAGAAATAACTTAGGATTAACATTTACCCTATAGGGTACCTCAAGATAAAAATCTATTTAATTCTACGTTATATTCCTCCATTGCTAGTCATTATAAACTTTCACGCAAATTTTTAATTTTCGTTACCCTTGACCCCCAACACCCATATGACCCCTACCGGCCAACCACTTGACCGATCGAACTCGAGTTGTGTATTTGGATGGTCTATATGTGTGGAAAATATCAAGTCGATCGGATAATTTTAAAAAGAGTTATCATTGTACAGATGGACAACACGGGTACATAAGCCTTGGGTCGGGCTAAAAATTAAAATTTTTTATGAAAATGTTGTCACGGAGTAACATATTTGACTGGCATTTTTGGTTACGAATAATGATCCCTTAGAAATAAAGCTCCCTCACGAATTAAGGTAACTCTACTGTCGCCTGGTGACACGAATTATGGACATCTTGACTTTTACTTGTCCTCTTTAAATGGTTAAAATGGTATTATATTTTTTTAAATTTTCTGATGATTTTGAACTCTTGCAGAAAACTGATATTGATTTGGTAATAATTGTCTCCCCGAGTAGTAGTAGTTTGTTTCTGAGTGGTAAAATTTGCATTACCAGACGGTAATGATGGTTACCGTGCCGGAGAATCATATGAACCAATACATGTACATACATACTCCAGTTTCCAGTTTGGAGTACATATGTATGTATATGTACGACTCTACCGGGACGATGTATTACCTCAGATATAGTAATGTTCCAGTAACGAAAACCTTACCACTGACAAACAAACTATTACCAATTCGTTAGGAAGTTATTGTTATTACAAAATCAATAATGTGAGTCACGTACATACAGACATATTTACATACATACATATCTGTACATATGTATAAATATATAATGTGACTACCACATTTCTAACTTCGTGCTCACCTCTTGGAAACATGGTCTCCCGTAATTTGAACAAGTTCCTCAATACAATGCATAATTGGTTACTTTTAAAGATGAACGAAACGCTTATCGTTATTGCGATTGTGAAGCAGAGAAAGCTTGTGCTCAAAACGAAACCGGAAGTAATTGTGACGTCAGGATCTTTCCGTCGCAACGCGATTTGTACGAGACAAAAGTAGACCAAGTGGAGGGTTGCCATTGTGACCAGGAATGTCATCAGGAAAGCTGGGAGGAGACGCTTTCTTGGCGTGGGGCGTGGCACCCACGTTATCCTGTTCCACGTTAAGAACTGAGGGTACACACATTCACTGAGGAATACGCAGCGTTTGAGAGCATTTAAAGGTGTGAGAGACGGGATGGAAATTTTGCTCTTCAATTTCGTCTTGAAGCTAATTAATTTGTTCATGTTATTTTAGGAGGTGCTAAATTTTTGTAAATGCTTTATGTAAATATGCGACCAAATTGGTACGGAATACAGGTTTAGAGAAAGTATTTTTAAGGGCTCGGGTTAACTTTGAATAAAATAACTGTGTTTTCTGACAGCGTACATACATATTTTCTGTAACATGAAACTAGTTTTTTTGACTAGCTAGTTACTTGAGTTTATTATGTAAGACGGGTTATGCACTAAAGACTTTATTTAGGCAGCCTAATAATATAATTATTTTTCCTTCCAAATTACATATATTTGTGTAACAATTTTTTATCACTTGGCTTCCAGTTAATTGCTTTGGGAAATTTTAATTTTGCCAACCAATTACACATTTGTGCTATATACCGGGTCTTTTTTAAATATGATATTCAATAGAAATTTATCAAGTTGTAAAATGCCGGTGAAAGTAAAATTTTCAAAAATATCTACCTTGGTAGCCAAGGGATTGTTCAGTACTACAGAAATATGTGTAATTGGTAGACAAGAGATAAAAAATCGTTACACAAATGTGTGTCATTTGGTAGCTAAGAGGTTTAATTATTTACGTATTTTTTTGGACGACCTTAAACATGAAATATTTTTAGTTTAATTTGTATGTATGTACAAGTCTTTAACCGTATTCAAAATGCCTTAGACGGAAATTTTAGTTATTCATGATCCACCCAGGAATCATGGGCAAAACTGTCCAATTTACATTTTCAATTTTTTCATAGAACTTCATATTGCATAATTGATGACAGAAAATGCATTGAAAATAGACTAGGGTTTGCAATTAGGGTTTGTGTTCCTTTGAGATTAATTATTTGGTCATATAAGTATAATATACCGTATTATGGTACATATGTATGTATGTATGTATGTACTCGCTATTTCTGAAACTGATCCTGCGTTGGAAGCCCAGTGCGGACACAAACGTGGTGTAATTTAATTACGTAAAAAGTTTAAAGTCATATTAAATTTCCTTACTTATGTAACTATGTATGTATTTGTAAAAGGCTGAATATCGTTTATGGCGAAAAACATACCCGAAGCGCTTATTACTCCTACCACATAATACAGATATATTTATGTATGTCACATAATTGATACATATTCTAGCAGAGATTGCACAAAGAATTAATTTTCTAGACAATTCGTTATAAATAAATAATTATACATTTTAAAAGCGCCAGGAGGCGTGGTCAAATCACTGCATGAATTCAAAATCTCGTCGCATATTTTACGATACGAAGAATACCAAGGACACAAAGGGATCAACCCTCAATAATAATTATATAATTGTGAATATGTGCGTATGTAAAATGCACATTATTGAAATTTATCGGATAATAATATCGCTTGGTAATTTTGATTGGAAAAAGTGCTCCTTGTCTATTAGTTACATAAATACATACATGCAAATGAATAAGCCGTTCTTTGAATTATGTTCCTATTCGATTTAATAGTTATTCAAAAATTTTAAGTGGTATTGAAATTAAGCAATTTTCACACCGTATTAAACTATATAAATATTTTGCCAATTTAATTGTTTCCTAATTTACAATTGGTCAAGTGGTGGTGGGCACGTGCCACCTCCCCCACCAATCCACTCCGAAATCTCATCTAGGGTATACTGTCCAATCACGACATTTGCAGCTTGTCTTATCATCTCCGTGACGGCGGCCCTGTTAGCGGCAAATTCGGCGTCGAAACAAGTCTTGAGCCCGGCCGAGACTGCATCCCAGTCGACCGGACTTCCTCCGATGAGGAGGTCAGGGCCGAACGAGATCATAATGTCCGACCCGAAGGAGATGTTTCTAATGTCCAAAGTTCGAATCGTCACCTTGTTGGTGATCATATTGACGAAGAAGCCGGCACGGAGGTCGGCGTCCAATGCGCTGACGTGGACGATGGCGACTCCACCACCAGTGAAATTTCCGGATGGGATACATCCCTGGGAGAATGGTCGAACATCTAGATATCCCGTGACGGTAAAGTCATTCGTGACGTGGGCAGTGGACAAGGTGAAGTGGAAGTCATATGTAAGCATGAGATTAACTAGGGTGTAATCGTACGACAATTCTGAGAGGCCAGTGGCGACAAGATCGCTAGAAAATGAACTTATCAACCTTACGAAACACTGATTAAGTTATATTAATAATACACATGTCCGGCATGTTTCTCACCGATATTCTCGTTAAAAGCAGTGCTAAAAAATCAAGTAACTAAACACAGACAACAGTTAGTGTGGGACTTGTGCAGGACTCGCGGCTTTAAGATGGTTTTAAATTGGCAAAAAGACGCACTTTCAAAATCAAAATGCGAACGGGCGAACGCCATATAGCTGTTTCGAACTTGTGTAAAACCTACGTCACTCTGTGAATTTTGCATAAGTGTTCAAGTGCTCAACTACATATGTGGATTTAGTTACTTGATTTGTTCTGGTTTAAAGGGTTATTAAGAAGACCGACGAGAAAGCTGTCTGACATGTTTATTCTTAAGTCTTCGTTTGCCCTCTGGTGCTCCCCTGATCAATTCTGAAAGTAAGGTCGAAAGTAGCGTTGAGTGAACCGGCTGGGGAATTCAGGGGGTCGGCGATTGCTATGAGGATAGAATATTTGGTTAATTTTAGGCTTGTTGACATCCAATAATTTTCTCAACGTACGACAAGGTGGTCCAGTTTGTAGCGTTTCTCGAACGCTAGAGCCAAATGCGGCTGTCGCCACGACGGCTAAAATTGCTAAAACCTTCATGTTCCTTGACGAATTTGGATTTGCTAGCTTCCTTTTTTAGCAATTATGTGTAACAGTAGGGACCCTGTACTGATGACTTGATCAGAATATGATCAATTTCATATTCAAATTTGCATCTCCTTGGCCAAGGTGATGGAATGATAAAACTAAAAAATAATTAATTATCTGGCGAGATAATTAATCTTATCACTCAAATTCTCTAACAAGGGAACATACCGAGGTGTCCAACGAGTTAAGGGTCGACACCTATACCAAAATGACCACAATACATGACTTATTAAACAAACTGAAGGAATTTCCGTGTAAAATTCACTTTTCGTCAAGTTGTGACGATATTTGTGACGAGCACATGACCGTCGGGTTGCCAGCGGGAGAGGTCGGCCGCTGAACGATCAGGTCGAACACAAAGAAGCGTCGTCGTCTTCACGTCGTTTTCAGAGATTTCAAATGCTATCAAATTTTGAAAACCACTTGAAATTTAAAAAAAAAATTGAAAAAAAATTTCAAAAATTTCTTCAAAATTTCAAAATTTTCTCAAAATTTCAAAATTTTTTCAAAATTTCAAAATTTTCTCAAAATTTAAAATTTTCTTAAAATTTCAAGATGTTTTCAAAATTTGAAAGAATTTGAAATCTCTGAAGACGACGACGCTTCTCTGTGTTCGACCTAATCTTCAGCGGCCGACCTCTCCCGCTGGCACCCGATGGTCATGCGCTCGTCACAAATATCGTCACAACTTGACGAAAAGTGAATTTTAAACGGAAATTCCTTCAGTTTGCTTAATAAGTCATGTATTGTGGTCATTTTGGTATAGGTGTCGACCCTTAACTCGTTGGACACCTCGGTATGTTCCCTTGTAAGTTTATCTATGTGACGAGTATTTGCGTGTCGGGCGTTATTGATTTTTGACGGCATGATTGAAGTTTTGGCATGGAGCGCAGTTTGCAGAATAGATAAATTATCTAATCCTAAGGAGGACAACCCTTCACCGACAGAATCACCGATCTTGATACCCTTTGGATATGTTGTAGCACTAGGTGAGTTGAGCAAAAGTGAAGAAGGATTTCATTCCATGGCCCCATTTGCGCCCGCCACACCCACACTCAAAGAGGAATCCCATGCCAAACTGGTCGCATTAAAAAATTCACCAAAAATCCATTTTTAATGATAATTTGATAATGTTTGCACCTTTTTGATCCCAGATAGTTGTTTTATCGTATCCGACATGAATTTCAATTTTTTGAATTTTTTGAATATTTTCGAAAATTTCGTGGATTTCGAAAAAATCAAAATTTCAAAAAAGTTGAGTTTGCTATTGGATATGATAAAGCAACTATCTAAGGTCACAAAAATGCTTAAATTGTGAAAATCCGATCAAAATTGCATTTTTGGTGATTTTTTGAACGAACGAAAACAGGGTATTTTTCGTGTTTTTCGCACCTTTGAGTGGGTGTGGCGGGCGCAAATGGGGCCATGGAATGAAATCCTTCTTCGCTTTTGCTAGACTCACCTAGTACCACAACATATCCAAAGGGCATCAAGATCGGTCATTCTGTCGGTGAAGGGTTGTCCTCCTAAGTATGTGTGTTCATACTTTTGCGAAAAACGAGGTCTTAGGTGAGACACCTTAAATATCTGTTAAGAGAAGCAAATTGTTTGACAGATAGTTAAATCATGTAGAAGTTAAAAAATTACAATTCAATTTAAATTTAGGAACGTTCAGATATTGCGTCATGAATTTGCATCAACGTCTACCTTTCCCTGAATTGTGTCGGATGGTTTGCTCGGGTACAGTCTGGGGATGTTGCATTCTTCGCCCTTCTCGACCGATTCGTCTTAGGGAACGTGCACAAACTAGGAAAAATTCTGATTTTTCAGACTTTCCCCGCTCCTTGTCACGCGTACATTTTTTAACGTACGGCCCAAATGAGCCTCTAGTGCTTTTTGTCATGCCCGCTATTAACGCTTTTCCGGAAGACTTTGCAACTTCATTGCTCATTTTCTGCCACCGGAACTGAAATTTTGTTAAAGTATCTACTATTTCACAAAGCTGGAAGTATATCTTCTTACCCATAGCCGACATTTTTTTATTAAGTGAAGATGCGGGATGTATGTGAGGTTTCCATATTTCGACGTCAAACTGTAGAATTTATTTTCGAGGTTACATACTACTAAAATTGACAATGTCAATTTGACATGTATTTATTTATAATTACTGTTTATTCAAAAAAAGTAAAGACAAAAGTTCTCAAATTTAAAAAAAAAAAGTTTTTTTGTGCGTAAACAAACTATGCCAGATAACCTTTCAGATTTTTGTTCATACTTTTTAAAACGAACAGTAATTGTTTCGAAAATTAGTTTATGCACAATCTATACCAGAATGACTACCGTAGCCTTTATGTACTACATATACGATATTCAGCATAGGCATCCAATTATGGCGTTAATATGTAAGGCTTATTTATCTTTTCATTTCTTGTATAACGAAATTTGATACGACATTAGAGTTTTTATATAAAGAAAATTATACGGTACGTTCCCAAAGTTTGTATGTAAATATCTACTTCTAAATCTGAAATAGTATGGCAAATGGCAGGTACATAATTCTATTTAATTTTATGGATTAATTAACCTTAAAATTTGTGTTGCCACAAGCCCATGGATGGATAGGATTTTTCCCTACCCCATTCACGGCCTTGTGGCAACACTACTTGAAATAATACAATTGCAAACATTAGTTTGTCTTCAATACATTTTTTGCCATCAATTATGTAGTATGTAGTTTTCAGCAAAAATTAAAAATTAGACAATTTTGACCTTGATCCCAGGGCGGATCATGCATAAGTAAAATTGCCGTCTGAAAGCATTTATGTATTTACTTGAATACGGTTACTTATACTTTATAAGTTATACATACATACGTATACACAAATTAAATTAAAAATACTTCATGAGGTCTTACGTCGTCCAACAAAATATGTAAATAATTAAGCTTGTTGGCTACCAAATGATACACATTTGTGTAACGATTTTTTATCTCTTGACTATCAAGCTATTTCTGGAAATACAATACTACTTTTCCTACTAATTGCACACATTTTTGTAGTATTATAACATCTCTTGGCTACCAAGGCAGATATTTTTGAAAATTGTACTTTCTCCGGTATTTTGTAACTTGATAAATTTCCACTGACTGCCATTACATAAAATTATTACACAATTGTGCGTAATTGGTAGGCAAAGTTATATTCCCGAAAATTAACTAGTAGCGTAGCAAAGCATTTATCATTTTACCAAAATAACTAGTTTTACGTTACAGCAAATACATACGTATCCAGAAAACAGAGTCATCTGTATCCAGCAGTTTAATAAATGCATTATTTTATTCAACCCAAATTAACCCGAAATACTTTCTCCAAACTAGTGTGTATCTATTCCGTACCAATAATTCGAAGCAAAAGTTTAATATCTCCAAGACCGACATGAATAAATTAATCAACTTCAAAATGAAATTGAAGAACAAAATTTCCATCCCATCTCTCACACCGTTTGATGCCCTCAAACGCTGCGTAGTCCTCAGTGAATCTGTGTACCCTCAGTTTTTAACGTGGAACAGGATAACGTGGGTGCCACGCCCGACGCCAAGGAAACGTTTCCTCCCGGCTTTTCTCATGACATTCCTGGTCACCATGGCAACCCTCCACTTGGTCTACTTTTGTCTCGTACAAATCACTTTGCGACGGAAAGATCCTGACGTTACAATAACTTCCGGTTTTGTCTTGAGCATAAGCTTTCTCTGTTTCACAATGGCAATTACCATCAGCTTTTCGTTCATCTTTAAAGCAAACCAATTTTGTGTTGTGCTGAGAAACTTGGTGAAGTTAAGGGGGACCATGCTCCCAAAGGGTGAGTACATTGTTAAAAATGTGGTAGACTGGTAGTGGTAAAATTGTGTATTTATGTAACACCTGTTTTCTAAGAGTTCCAGATTTTTAGAAAATTTAGAAAGTCCTAATACACACTTTATGAATTTAAAAATTCTTACATATTTATTTCTTAAAGGAACCAAATTGGAACGCTTCAACGTTTTAGGACTGTACCTGCACGGACTCTTAACTTCCATTATCACGTCCTCCTTGGCTCCACTAATTGTTCCTGTCCTACTCGATAAAATAGATCCAACATATTTTTGGTTCAGAAATTTCGAATATTTTTCCCCACTTTTTAAAACCTTGATCCGTTCCATTCTCATTTCTCTGCTCTGCATGCACACGAGTTTAATGAATTTCATGACTGTTTTATTCGTCTCAAATATTTGCCTCCTGCTAGAAATGCTTGTCAAAGGAATGTCACCCTCCAGAAACACGACCAAGTTTCGGTGCTTCTCCTGGAGAAATATTTTTCTGGATGAATATGTACGAAAGTACAATGAAATGCAAATTATTGTAAAATTTCAGAATCACTTTTACTTCTATTGTTTACCAATGATTATGCTATTTTCAGTTATAATTGCTATCGAAATGATATATTTAGCTTTTAAATTTGCACCAGTTATTCCCCCACCTCTGACGTTGATTTGTGTCGTTATTGCGGCCAGCATTGTCGGGATGGGACACTGGATCCTGCCCCTCTTTGCAAATGTTAATACAGAATCCAAAGAATTTTTGAGATACAGAAGTCTCCAAATTAGGTCTGGCTTGAGACTACGACAGTTGAAGGGTTGTGGTGAGTTAAGGATTTGGGTGGGAGGGTGTTTCTACGTTCGGAAAGTGCAAGGGTTGAGTTTTTGTCTCGTCTGTTGTACTACTCGGTGTCACTGTTAATTTCGGTGTAAAAATATTTGCACATACATACTCTCCATTCAGACAGAGTTGAACTGTTATAGAAATTGAGAATTCTGAGAAACTGTCAATCTCAAACCTGACAAATTCTGACCCCACATCCCGATGCTAAAATTTATCAAACTAGAATAACCCTATGGTAACAATATTTTTAAACATACGTGTAGACACATATGTACATCACATCCACAAGTACACAATTTAATACATATGTACATCCTTCGAGTCATGGATTATGTAAAAATAGTATGTACCTATACATACTCATGCATGAACTTATCACACAGATAAAATCAGTTTGATTGATCATCTTCACGCTTATAAATAACTTATCATCCACCGAATTTCTTATAGCCTTCGTTCCAAAATTTGACTTATTTTCACTTTGGTTCACTTTTCTGTTTTTATTTTTTTTACCTATGTACCTAGTTATAATTTGTATCTCGTCGGCGAAAAGTTTTTCACAATTAACAGAATAAGTTCCGTATATATGTATGTAAATAAGCGATATAAAAATAAATTCAAGGTTTTTGCACGTAGGGAGTTGCTTTGGAGATTAATTCGATGCTCCTTCAGGTTGCATCGGTTAATTTAAATTAGAAAATTAAAAATCCGGAATTGGAGAAATGATAAATTTGCGCCCTACTTTTCACGTTGTAACTTTTGACAACGTTAAACTAATTTAAAGAATAAAACAGGTACCATATGCAGATAGATACATATGTACATAAGCATTGCTTACATAAATTGGGGGATTCCTTACAGATAAACTTGACCAATTTTTATCCTGGTAAATCCGGAGGTTGAAGATTTATCGAGTTTATGAATTACGTAAATAACTCGCATCAAGTATTTATACATCAAAACAAGATAAATTAAACATTTATACAACTATACCTATCCATAATAAAACAACCTTCCAAATACAATCTCTGGATTTTCCTTCCGATTCGGGAATTTTCTCCATTGTTAGATTCACCTGGTTGTTACCCAATTTCATTATGAAACCGAGCTTATCTCTCTCGGTCACCAGATTATCGCTAACATTACACAACAACTGCCAATCCTAAATAAATCGAACCTTCGTTAATACTAACCCATCTTAAAATCCTGACTATAAAAGCGACCCGGTTCCCCCTTCCAAATCATTACTTCCATCCATAACTGACCAGCAGCTACAACATGAAGATCGCCTTCGTGACCATCGTCGCCCTCGTCGCCATGGCTTCCGGTTTGTCGTAAAATAATAAATCCCCCCATTTTTTAAAGAAAATCCTAATCAATTTTTTCAAAATTCTAGCCATGCCGGCAAAAAAACAGGATTCCTATTTCCCCACCAACCGTTTCATCGTGGGTGGGGTTCCGGCCACCCCGTACGAATTTCCGCACATCGTGGACATGCGACTATCCCCGTACGGCCATTGGTGTGCGGGATCGATCATTTCACCAGAATGGGTCGTTACGGCGGCACATTGTTCCGACTCGGCCATGACGAGCTACACCCTCACGGCGGGAGAGCATAACATCACTTCCGGCGGGGTTGAGGGGACCGAACAGGTCAGACAGGTCGTCAAAATCATTATTCATCCAGGTTATGGCAGGTAAAATTTGATTTTTATAATGCTCGGTTTTTTTTGAAACTTTCCTAACTACCATTTTTTTGAATTTACCGCCCAGCCCACACCGATATGAGAACGACATCGCTTTAATGAAGGTTGCGCCCCCATTCGACCTCAGCACGATTGTTCAACCCGTCGTCGTTCCCGATGTCAACTTCGCCCCGACAAGTACTTACTTACATTTTTAGATAAGTCTCATATTTACATATTATGGATCACTTATGTATCTATGTTGTTTGTCATGTACATAGGCATTGCAACTGTGGCGGGATGGGGCGTCTTGACACAGGGTGGTGCCTACCCAGACGTTCTTATGAAGGTGGATGTTCCCTTCGTTGACGACGCTACGTGTAACGCCAACTATGTCGAGTATGGTGGTACTGCTGAGTCGATGATCTGTTACGGAGAGGCTGGAAAGGATTCGTGTCAAGCAGGTGGGTACATACACTGTTAGAAATCTGGTATAGTCAGGCAGGTATTTATTTGTCGGTGCTAAAGTTGGTACCGCTTGGTATTAAAATTATACCGATAAGTTCCTATCGATATGGCAAAACCTTAATACCGAGCTATTGCTACATCGCAATACTTATGACTCTACCACGTTGGTAGAGTCATACATGAATACGGCTTGGTATTAATTTAATACTGGATTTCTAAGACTGTATGAATACTAAATTTATTCAAATTACTTTACATATTTATACTAGATTCTGGCGGTCCCATCATGTGTGGACCGGATAACGCTCTTTGTGGCATCGTCTCGTGGGGCTACGGCTGTGCTGTGGCCGGATTTCCAGGCGTCTACACGGAAACGAGCTACTTCGCTGATTGGATCAAAGAAATGACCACACCCACCGCCGAAGATCCAGCGCCAGTTACAACCGGTAATAATAACTCATTACCTGATTTAAATGCTAGAGTAAATTAACACAAAAAAATCTATTCACGCATAAATAGTCACAAATTGCGGAGGAATGATTGAGTCGTCCTCGGCCGCTATTAATTTCAACCTTGGGTCAAATGTGGCACCAAATCAGAAATGCGCCTGGGTCGTGAAGGCTCCCTATGACCAGTTGAGGATGCAACTTGTCGAGTCCGGTCTTACCTCTGGGGACGGAATCTACGTCACAGAATACAACCTCGTCGGGCCAGGGCGTCAAGTCCAAATGTATGTAATTCAAAGGAGAGGTCAACGCGGAGAAATTTTGCGGCGTCAATTATAGCGATTTTTCGGCACCATCGTCGGCTTGGCGCTTCAATGTTGAGGCGCCGGCGCGTAAAATTCTACCGGCGTTGACCTCTGATTCAAAGTTTACAATTTTGTGCCTACTTTTTTTCTTCATATTTTAGCACAACTGTCGGCGAAGACGTGATGTTGACTGGGGCCATGTACTTTTTGACCTTCGTCGCGGGACCGTCGGGCCCATCGCAAGGATTCAGTTTGGAATTTTACTCGAGCGGATTCCCCGGCGGTTCCGACGCCTTGAGCGGGTTCGCTCACTTGACGACACCCACCGGCTCGCACTCTTATCCCGTCGGAGGTGGAAGCTACCAAAATAACGAAAACGCCGTCTTCATCGTCAACCCGGAAGCGGGTGGCGATCGGACCCTCACCTTCACCCGGGTTGATCTTGAAAGTGCCAGTGACTGTGGGTACGATGCCTTGGCGGTGTACACCTGGACCAATAATCAGTACACGCAATCCCTGAGGTGAAAATTTGATTGGATTTTTTTTAAAGAAATTTCTAAGAAATGTGTGGACGGGTTTTATATTTAATTGATGAATTTCAGATTTTGCGGGACAACAATGCCAAATCCTTTCCCAATTCCGGGTGGGCTTTCCCTCGTGACTTTCACCACGGATAGCAGCATCACCGCGACTGGGTTTGACTTTTCTTGGGCGTAGGGATTTAAGGCATAATTTAAAAGACTATGTGTAACTTAATGATGACGTGGCTTGAATAAAATTGGAAATGGAATGGAATATGAGATGTGTTAACTTCATATTTTTGCAAGCAAAAAATTAGCATGTCGAATTAATACAGATTGTATTACAGTTTCGTACTTATATATAAAATCCTAATTGAAATTGCAATTGATTTCATAATTGGGCGAGAGTCGGGTCAGCTAAAAAAATTCATTTTGCTTATAAACAAAATGATACTTTAAGTATCATTTTGCAATCTGTCATGTCATTACGCTAATAATATTATCGTAATGTGATCGGGTTTTTAATGCTGTGCAGAAGATATGTAGGTGTGGTTAAGTCATTATCTTCTGCTAAAAATGTGCAATGAGACGTACCTAATAGGTACTACCTATTTATTCGTATATATGTATGATATATTTATAATATATCCTTTATTTTAGTGTCGTAAAATAATTTACGAAGAAAAAACAAAGGGTCAAGCTTCGTAAAAATCGTAAGCGTAGTAACGCGATTTTCGATGACAAAGTCTTACTACGCTTACAGAATTTCGTGGAGTTATTTTGCGATACGAAGGATACTAAGGATACGAAGAAATAATGAATACCCTTTATGTTTCGGCTTCTGTATATATGTACCTATTGTCTACATTTGTTTACATTTGTTTCATGCGTTGTATTGTAAGATCATTAATTTGTGACATCTATTTCCCCCACAGCATTAAAAACCCGATGCCGCTGTGCTTGTAGCATTTTGAAATGTGTCGTTTTTCAGCAGATGTTAACCTTTGAAAAATTAGTGTAGCCGATGCTGCTAAACAGGCTCTCTTCACTGTATCCTTGGAGAATTTCTAGACAGGGTCATGTCAGTTCAAACATTCTCCAATTTTTTTTTACAGATTTTAAAAGACAGTGATCGAATTTGATGGTAACCGTGGGCCCCTTTGCATTATTTTTCATTGATTATAATGCAAAATTCTGGGCCCCGTATTCGACAGGATATTAATTATTATTTTTGGTTGTGTGGTAACAAATATGCAAGTCGGGAATATTAAGTGAGAGAGTAATAAGCACATATTTGCAGCTATGGGAAGTCAGGTACTGTAAAAATTCGATGTCAATTTAATTTTTAACCACTTTTTCATTTAGCTTGGAGTTTTGAACACCATATTTATAATTTTACACAATATAATTTGTACATATAACAAAGACATAGGTATACATATATTCACGAAAATGCACAAACCACAGGAATATTGTAACTTGTAACTGCTGAATCTTGAAACCTGAAAAAAATAATAGGCAATATTAATATTAATTTAACTCGCCTAACATGCATTTAAAAGTACGGGATTGCAAACTACGAAATCAATCATAGTACTCATGTGCCTTCCCAAATTATTCCGTACTTATAAATGACCTTAAATTGTGACTCGTTACCAGACTTGAAGAAATAAACGTACATGCATAACCTGAACAAAAAATTTTAATCGAAACGTGCTACGTCTCAGTTCTTGCCACCACTTTCTTGGAAGGGCCAGCGTCAAGAATTTCCAGTTTTCGTTTCCGAACGTTAATTGTCGCATGATTTTGATACCTCTGATAACCCGAGTACCACAGCACCTTTTAACAATATAATAAAAATAGTCATCTATTTACCAGTTGTGATTTTTTGTATTAAATAATTTTAACTTCCCGTGCAAATATGTGCACAGCAACCTAATGTTCGAGCGCCTTGCTCACACCTGCAATAGAAATCTTTTATCGCGTCAGCACCTTGAATTTCTGGGTTGGAAGAATATTCGATCCATAGATCGTGGGCTTTATTGGTTGTAATCTTGATTCGATCTTGGCTCGCACGATGTTAGGGAATTCCGAATTCAATTTAATTTCAAAACTTGGAGAATTTGACATGTGTAAATCAGCATATCTCTTGGATAATCCGATTTGATACACTCCAAGAGTAATATCTTGCAGGTCGTCAATAGAAAGCTTGGGGAATTTTGGAAATTCTTTTAAAGAGGCCGCCTTCCATGACTTCTGCGACAATCCAATTTCTCGTCCTCCACTCGCTTTTGTAGTGCATTTTGATCGACTTGTTCCAGTGCTCTATCGGCTATTTTATCGTATCTTGGCGAGTGGGTGGACAGAGGAGGGCAGAAACAATTGATAAGCGCGTTGGATTGGATTTTTGAGAATCCGACAAGGTTTGGATAGTCGTCTTTCGGCACATCAGTTTGATCGTCAAAGTTGTAGTGACGTCTTCTACCATTTAACTTGTTTCTGTTGCTGCTGAGATCCAGAATCCACCGTGCTAGCTCTTCATCCGACATCAAGACACCATGTTTAGTTAATCAACTCGATCGCTTCATCTGTGAAAAGTTGTGTCTCAAGGTGCATAGCGCAGCAGCGATTGTCATGTGGTATGAATATTTCCTTCTCGGTCCAAACTTGAGTGATGACAGATTTCGGAATTCGTTTTCTTCCTGAAGGGTTATTACAAATGAAGCCTCGTTTCTGCGTGGATCCAACAGAGTCGATCGTTGGTAGTCGCCGGTATTTGCTTGACGTAGAGCTGGACATCGATACTTGAGAGCTGAATAAGTCGAGGGCATGAGAAGAAGAGTGATTTCCAGTAGTGGTCTTTGTGATTGTTGTTCCCTGCGTACTCCATTCTGACTCAATTTGGCTTTTGCCACTGATTGAAATGGCCATTGACAAGTCACGGTCAAATGTAATATCTTGTCCACCTGGTAGATGCGAAGGTTATTATGATATTACTGCAACAATTAAACGAAAGTCGTCTAGCTCCATGTCCAAGAGTCCATACTCGAAACGATCAATCTCTTGTTGAGCATCGTCATCTTCACCCCCATGAGCATAGTCGTCGTCAGCCCCAGAAAAATAGTCGTCGTCACCTCCACGAGTATCATTTTCACAACCAAGACAATCATCTTCCTCAGGTGCATGAGAACTACCTTCATCACCGCCACGATCACTATCTTCGTCACCGCCACGATCACTATCTTCGTCACCGCCACGATCACTATCTTCGTCACCGCCACGATCACTATCTTCGTCACCGCCACGACGATCTTTCTCCTCACCATCACGATGATCTTCCTCCTCACCGCCACGATGATCTTCCTTTTCACAGCCACGATGATTTTCCTCCTCACCACCACGATGATCTTCCTCCTCACCGCCACGATGATCATGTTCTTCAGCGTCACGAGCATTGACTCCATCACCGCCACGACGATCTTCCTCCACAACGCCATGAGCATCATCTTCTCGTCTCAGATTTAACCTGATTCGGCCACGTAGAATGACACCCTCGTCCCTTACTTGAGGTTTTGAACGTCGGAATTGCTTCGTCACTTCGTCTTTCAGTTGAGAGCGAATCTGCATAACAAGCAATTAAATGTAAATAGTACTAGAGTAAATTAAATATTTTTCGTACCTTGACGTGGCATGCTTCGCAAACGACCTCAGTTTTGTGTGTTGCTACTGCATCATTAAAAAGTCGACAATACAAACGTCAGAGTGCAGACGCTCCAAGTCGATGGCGTTTCTGGTTTGACTTAATCCGTCTTTGACAGTCCTCCAAAAAACAAGTAATGTGTGGCATGATTGATAAAAGCAGCTGGATTTATGTATCAAGGATTTATGTATCTCGATCGGGTTACTTTTTTGTATTTTCAAATAATAATGCAGCAATATGAATCCATTTAGTTACCTCTAACAACGGTACACAGTGCAATAAATTAAAATGCATAGGAAAAGTGTGGAAAAAGTGGTGGTGGTTTACCCTAAAATAAGTGATGACTGCAAAATGTCCCATTTTTTGTTTAAAGTTAAATTCAATCTTCAGAATGTGCAGAAAATTTTAAAACACATTGCAGAAATGGGACATTTTGCAGATATCATTTATTTTGGCTGTAAAGTTGCTCATGAAATTCGATCACTGTCTTTGGGAATATGCATTATTTTTGCTGGGAGAGTTTGGTTGTCAAGAAAAATAATATGCTCTGTAAAGCTTCATAAAATGCCAATAATTTAATTTAATTGCAAATTAAAATAGTTATAAAACAAATGAGCTAGGATCGGTATCAAAACGGTGCCTAAAAATTATTCACGTGTATTTATGACGTTTTACAGAGCATTTTACTTTTCTTGACAACCAAACTCTCCCTGCAAAAATAATGCATGTACTCGAACTTTAAAATCTGTAAAAAAAATTTGAGAATTTTTGAACTGACATGACCCTGTCTAGAAATTCTCCAAGGATACAGTGAAGAGACCCCGCTGCTAACCTACATGGGAGGTTGAAAAAATCAAATGTTTTGATTCTGATTTTGAAGTTTTGATTCAAAACGTCCTAAATACAGTATTTAACAAAAGTATAGCTACGATGACAAAATTTTATCTCGACATGACGCCGTAATGTTTCAGCTTTGAACCTCCGTACCAAAATGTTAAAAGTATGGTTTTGATATTTTTGTGCCGAGTTTCAAAGTTGACACATTACGTTATCATGTCGAGATAAAATTTTGTCATCGTAGCTAGACTTATGTTACATACTGTATATTCAAACGTATCTTGCAGTTTTAGAACTATCGCCTCGGTGGCGATTTTAGCCCTCAAACCTGTTTTTGGCAAAAAATTCCTGTGGGCGTCAAACAAATCGTACACGGTCAAATCAAAGCTCATTATTCTTCAAAACGCATGCCTCATCCAGTAAAAATATTTCAAAGTTAAAAAAAATTATCCACGAAGTTTTTTTTTCGACGCATCAAATTTTTTCAGAAAAATAATCCTGACCTTTCTCTTATCTGCGAGTGGCTGTCAAGTGGAAGTCATATGTAAGCATATATGAGATTAACTAGGGTATAATCGTACGACTACGACAATCCCGAGAGGCCAGTGGCGACAAGATCGCTAAAAAAATGACATTTAGCTAGCGATAAAATTGATTTTTCAAAAAAAAATATTAACTAATTAGTTCCGGAGGTATTAAAGTTCAAAAACTTGTCAAATGTATAAGATTTGGCTTTT